GTTGCTCGCTTCTTGTAGCCCGCACCGGCCACTTCATGCGCCGATACAAAACGCCGCTACACGTCACTCGCGCGATTCCCCACCCCTCTCTCCCTTACCTTAGTCGGTCGCTGTCGCGCGCTTCAGCCACTTTAGTAGCCGCTTCTAGCTTCTCGTGGCGGCGTGTGGTTGAGGCGTGTGGCCCGTGTGCGGCGACACTGAGTTGCGAAACCCTTAAAAATGGTTTGGTGGTGGTATATAGCATCGCCTCGGAGATCTAGAATTCGATTCCCAGCCAGCTCTTTGGGAAAAAATATCTACGGCTATAGACTCTTTTGCAATAAAAGGGGCACCTAAGTGTTCTTTCAGAGTAAAGGCGAGTGCGGGCGCGGGTAGGGGTAGAAATGTATCTAGACGCTTCTCGCTTTCACAGTTAATTACAAGACAAGAAATTAACGTTCTAAAAACTCTTCGGTGTCTTAAATATCTTCGTTGTCTTAAATATCCTTGGGATTTGTAGTTTCATATTGCTAAAGCTACTTAGTAAAGTACGTACTTGTAATAATGTTCGTCTTGCCATGTCCAAATATCTTAGTTCCGTTGGTACCAACAAGAGTTCCGTTAAGTTTGGTCCCACTAAAACCAGTTGCGTTAACTTTGCGTTCGATATTCGTGGTTTCTGAAACTACTGCTGTATGTCTTTCGTTGAGACGTCGCTTTATAAATTTCCTGGAGGTCAGTTTCTCATCGCAATATCCGCTATGTATTATGTGGTATTCTGAAATTTAAAAGGAGAAACGAGTTCATGTAACTTCCGAACACAATCGTCGAAGTCAAGCCTGTAAAAGACGAGAGACAGAGCAGCCAACCTTGCGGCAGCATCCAGTGCAGCAAGTTGGTACATATTTGGCCGAACCTTCCCCAAGGCGACTGCAATACTACATGCATGATCGGATCAGCGCCCCTAGCATAAGCACCTCGATACGATATATAACGCGTTTTATCACACTTTAAGGTTTTACGTCTGGAGAGTCTATATTAGTTCGTCAGGTTAGGGGTGCCTAATGTTCTTCTGTGACTTCCAGGGAGGGGGTGCTCCGCGACACCATCGCGAGGGGGTAGGAACCCAGGCGTAATAAGCGGCGACTCATAACTGGACCCCGCATTTACGCCTGGAGGGCGAGGGGTAGATCGGGGAGTTGTTTTACCTGGTAGGTACGGGAGCTGGTCGGCTGGCTAGCCGCTCGGGCTGCGGTCCGTGAGACTAGTCAAGTGACGCTGTGAACGGAGAAGCCCAGGATCGGCTAAAGCGGGTGCGGACCGGGCTGCTGGTCGGAGGCGGGATGGTTTGACGTATGCCACGCTTACGTGAGCGCACGTCAAAGTATACCCGCACTGACTAGCGGCTCTCGGGCTGCTCGCCGCTTGCCGAATGCACCACGCAATTACCTGCGTCGCGAGAGTTTGTTGACAGCAAACTAACGCGGCGTTGGTCATTGTCGTGGATATAATGTATTTTTTCTCCCCGTCATCGAAAAAAAAGGGGGTGCCTAATGTGAATGTTAAATAAAAGGTGTTATGATTAATCACTGACTGTTTGTTCACTTCACCAAGATTGATCTAAATTACTCTGACTCCAAAATATAATGTCTATTTTCTAACTGTTATGCGTACTATTACAATGACTTAAGAATGAACCTGACGGGATCGGTGGTTATGTTCGATTGGCTCGCGTCACCGCGGACCGCGCATCGACGCTTATATCAAGTTAGCATTCTTGGAATCCAGTCGCCACACGCTCAATTGTCAAATTACTATGGAGTCTGACAGTTAGACGCGATAAAAACGCGATATAATGTTAATTGTGGTGCTTAAACTACAGGGACTGAGCTTTGTAAAGGGCTAAAAGCTGTCTAGGCGTGCAGTAACCCTTCACGCCCAGCTTTCTTACTCCAGTTTGTGCCTTGGATTCGGTGGTTAAGACAATCATCAAATGGTGTCAATATTTTTTTTACCAAACCGGCACTTTAAATGAACAGTTAAAGTTAGTAAGTAATCTAAGGAATTATATTTTTTATGTTTTAAGCATGTAACTGCTTAATGTTTAAATCTAAAGAATAAGAATGGCTAGAAGAATTACGACGTGGCCGTCAGGGCCGCGGTAGAGGCGGTTCGAGTCCCGTCAGCTACCTGGACCGCGTGGTTTTTTTTCTAGTTATATTTTCTTTAGATTTAAACATCAAGCAGTTACATGCTTAAAAAGTTAAAAAATATAACTATAATTGCTATTTCTTCTTTCAAATGTTTTATACTTGTAAAAGTTGACATTGTGGGTTACCTACAATGCGAAGAGATGAGCTGCCTTGCAGCTTAAGAATGGCTAGAAGAATATCGGCGCGGCCGTCAGGGCCGCGGTAGCATAATTGGTCAGTGCATTCGGCCGGTTTGCGAAGGGTGCGGGTTCGAGTCCCGTCTGCTGACAGGTCTTATTCTCGTTATATTTTCTTTAAATCTAAGTAATAATTTTATCAGCGCAATTAGATTTCCGACTCACCCCGGTCTTTGTATTCACAAAGATTAATCAAGAACAAATAACAAGTATTTTTGAATGACTCATATTCAACATTTTCATTTAAAAACCTTAGGGCGCAAACTCTTGTCGAATTCGCCACTTTACTACATAAGAATTCTTTCTGCTTGCAAACTTCGTTTAAATGTTTATAACTTTTGTAATAAAAATTGTTATCAGTTAAATTTACATTTGGTTTTTGGTGCTGATGCAGTTTAGCACTTTCGATGTAATTCGATAAAAGTAGCATTAAAGAAATCTTAAGACACAATTCTACCATAACTGTAATGTAATGGACTGAATTGGCTACCTTCTTTGGGTTTATTGTTCCCATAATTATTATTGTTCATTCGAGATAAGAAGCTATTACCTCTGAGTGTTTAAGTATTTTATTAGCTATTTAATGTCTGATTGCCTTAGACTTAGACTGGGTTTGATTTTGTGATTTGAATATCGGGTTTTAAAGCGACTTGCTGTGTTTAAAATGTTATTCTTGTATCTCGAAAGCCTCCTTGCTTCAGAAACAGGGCCGCAGCTAGGGGGAGGGCAGGGCATTGTGGGGAAATGACCTACCTTAAAATACCTTCTGACTTGACTTTATTAATTCTAGGGGGGATGTAAATCCTGCTTATACTCTACCTGTAATCGGGTATTTGACAAGTTTTAGAAAACGATCTCACGTTATTGACTAATGTTTATGGAGTCCGTAAAAAGTGGATATTCATCATTCAGTAAAAATAACCAAATCATAAACTCCATTTTTAAGTTGCCACGAAAACATTTCTCTGGACAATATGGCGTCTTACTAGTGTTTGACGTCACATGACTGTTATTAAAACGTCAAACGATACAATGTAATGTCACTTTAACCAGAAGTTTACTTGCGTGTGACGTCATTTTAGACTCCGCCAATCCAAAATAGATAAAAAAACTATTATCTTGTTCGTGGGTTTTTTAGTAAAATTATGAATATTTTTTTTTATAAAAATAGTAAAAAACCCTGCCAATATTCATTCTAAACACAGACGCTTTTAATACTGTCAAATACCCTTTTACCGCTGCCCTATCTTAAATGCGACGCTGGTTACGACCCCGTTCAGAAGTCACGCAATGCCGACAGTCTGACCTAATTTGCAGTCATTTGCACCTACCAATCCGCTCCGGGTCCCACTTTTTCCCAATTCCATCTACATGAAAGACCCTGTGCCGAGGCTAATGCTGATGCGTGACGTGAATATGGTTATGGTTCGTTTTGCATTAGAAATTATGTCTACATCATACTGTGCTGTACCCCATCAGTGGGTCTAAAAACAGTTATAAGGCTATATTGTTTTAAACTTTCATGGTCACTAACATTATAGCTATTAACGGGATTGTTACCAGTGGTAGGGGTATCGAGCACAGTAAAAGACGACGTCAGAGGGTAGACCGATATGTCTGCCAAAAACATCTACCCGCAATTACTTCAGTTACTCCGTGATCATGGCGTGACCGTTAATAGCTATAAAGTTATAAGGCTGTAATTTTCTTATGTTTATGCAATTAAATGAGCTGACAGCCCACCTGATGGTAAGTGGTCACTGCTGCCCATGGACACTTACAGCACCAAGGGTAGGTACCACTCATGCGTTGCCAGCTCGGAAGGAAAAGGTTTACCCGCCTTTTGAAGACCGTCATATCCACCAAGTCAAAACAGCTGAAGGAAGTTCGTTCCAGATCTTGCTGGTACGCAAGAAAAAACAACGCGTGTAACGTATGGTCCTAGAAGGCTAAGCAGCAAGATGGTAGGGATCACTCCCGGCGAAGAAGAGTGGGTAGGAGAGGACGAGTGCGCGCCCTGGCTGCGCCCGTCCCATGACCCTGCCCGCGGGGATCCCTGGCTGGCCGGTACGGCGCATTATGCCGTGCCGGCCACCGAGGGATCCCGTGACGGCAGCCCCCCTGTTGTAGTTCTGTCCTGCAAAGAGGGGGGCGGCGGAGGGAGCTATACGGGCAAGCCCAAGTAGCCCTCCGCAGAGAACGGGGGGCGGTAAGGTGGGCACTAGGCCGCGTACTCAGGCCCCAAGCGCGGACCATCCTACGTACCTCTGCGGGGTCCCCGTAATACCTCGGAAGACCCCTACCATGGAACCACGGCGAGGCCGGGAGGCTGCTGGGTGCAGAGACGCGGAAGAATCCCTAAACAAGGACCCTGCGGCTTCGCATTAAGCAGCGACGGCCATTGAATTGACAGATTGGATTTTTTCTTCTAAAATTATCTTTCTTATTCCTTTTTTTTATTATCTAATGTTGTTTTATCTTCCTGTAAACATATTTAGGTGATATACAAGAAATAAATATGTAAACATCTTTAATCAAACTTATTTTGAGTTTAGATACCTTTGTTATCAGCTCCCAGGTTAGGCATATATATAATAGGGTCAATGAGTGATCTAATTTATGTTGTTTGACACACTGAGCGAAGATGGTCGTGTCGTTAAAGATAATTTATATTGGCCTTGTACTTGGCCTTGTTGTAGCTTATACGCAAGCCGCTAGTATCAGCGACAATAGGTAAGTTCGTTCGTTAGTATTGTTATTGTTGGACATTTCAGCATGATTTGGTAAATCGAATTTCCACGAAAATCCTAGGGATTTTGTGAATACGCGGAGAATTAGACAATGGCGACGATATTTCTCAAACTTACTAAAAAGATAAGATTTTTGCGAAATCGCGAGTCGCCTCACTAACATTGTGAAAGGAATCGTTGTCGTATTATTAATATTCTTAAGTTCTTGAGTTCACACTGGTTATGTTAATATTGTACAGGTTCACGGCACGTAACTCTAGTGCTGAACAAAACGCGTCAGGGATAGCTGCGCATGGGTACGACTGGAGAACCAATCGGCGCAACGCATGCCACCCGCGCACCTCGTTTCCCCCCAAGATATCTTTGTTTTTACTTCTGTGTAATAACGGACAGCGCTAGAGTTTCGTGCCGCGACTTATAACCATGATGCGCAAGCCGAGCGAGTTAAACGCGGCAGCGGCCGGCGAAGCGCCAGAAAAAAAATAGCAGAAACATTGAGCAATGGCATCGCCATTAGTGTCGATTCTGGCATGAAATTATAATATCACCTAACTACAACCTACCCTCCTTCTTACAACCTGGGATCCTTTAAAAGAGGCGTGAAGAAGCAACATACAGGCCGGCAAGGTGAGGATGGCTGGTGTGGCAGGTAGAACTGCTTTACTACCTATCTTCACATCTGGACTTCACCATCACTTAACATCAGGTGGGGTGGAGCCATTTGTTGGACTTATCTAAAAAAAAACTGAAAACTAAATTTAACATCAGTCTCTCCTTTTCATTCTGTAGGATATAGAATGACAAGGATACACTTTTGTTAAATTTAAGTTTATGTTTAGAGAATTATGTCAGAATCGACACCATTATCCAACTCTCCGCATTTTTGTCTAGGCTTTCCCTAGGCCATGGAAATCCCTCCCCGGGGGCGTACCAGTGAAGTGGCGCACATTAAGGTGCGCCGTTCCTGAGACGCCCCCATATGGGCGTAGGAGGGTACGTGGTTTTTAGTGGATAGGACCGGCGTTGTTCCGCGCCGGGAGTCCCACACACGCCGCGCGCCCAGCCAGCGCGCGGTACGGTGCGTAAATGCATTTTCCATCGTCAACAAAAAAAAGGCCATGGAAATCACTAAGTTTTAGCGAAAATCGATTTATTTGTTTCTTAGGTTTGCACGCACATCGCTTATTAAATAAAACTAGTTTTTACGTCAGAATCCCGAAGTCACATTCCTGAAAAGGATGTGAAACGTCAATAAATAAATAAGTTCAGTAGGTACATGTAACCCGTTTTTTATTAATTAGTTTAAGATATGTATGTAATTACATATATTTTTTGTAAACAAGTTGTGATATATGAGAGAGCGAGGCATTCTAATACAGGTATATGTTTACCTAAAAGAGTGCTTCAATAACTTTTATGTTAATTTAATTTGGTTAAAGAATAAATATTTTTCATTTTTTCTTTTATTATTATTATACTAAATTTCTTATTACAGTCTTCCTACCTATGATACGATAGTAGTAGGTCTGGGTGCGTCTGGCACGGCCGCTGCTACTACACTAGCGCGCGCTGGGAGGAGAGTGTTGGGTCTGGAGGCTCAAGAGAGAATCGGTGGTCGAGTATATACTGTGCCCTTCGACGATGGCGTTGTGGAGGTGGGAGCTGAGTGGTAAGGACATTAATTATTAAGAATTAGAACTTTGCCACTCAAGAAACAATAATCAAATCCGTGAGCGCGTTTATGTTGTTCTCCGGTTGTTGTGTAGAGTCTGTGCGGAAAGAGAAGGCGAAAAGCGGAACTAACATTAAAAGCGCCTACTGACATCTGTAAAACGTCAATGTATTGATACGAATTTGTTTGTTGTTGTGATTTCTTGCGGTTTTTTTGTATTTAATCATGTCTAAAAGGGGTAAAACCTTACAAATACAGTAGAAGGCACTACAGCACCTTCCAATCTAAATCCCATTCTCTTTCCGCACAGACTCTAGCTGTGGACTATACTAAGTTAAAATGGGATTAATGTGGATAAACGACACATAGCACAAAATAAAATGTAATTCGTGTTCACAATATACATATATACGTTCGTATGCAGTTATATGTGACAAGACAATAGCAACAATCTATAACAAATGAATAATGTCAGAAGGTGACGTAGAAAAGTATAAAGGATTTAAAAAATACATAATAATATCAAAAAAGTTTATTTTTAAGTTTAACGTATTAACAAACTTTAAATCAGAAATCAATATATCTTTATTCAAATTGGATGTATAGTACAACTCTTTTGAATCTTCCAAATTTTTCCCAACCACTCGTTATGGACATATTTTTTAACTGCGGAGAAAAACGAGCGAAAGAAAACTGAACAACATTAAAAGTCTAATGTAACAACATTTACAAATCATTATGTTGTTCCAACAACGGCAATACAGCTACACTTCAGGACTCAACAATGGCGCCATTAGGTGAGACAAAAATCGGTAGCCACATTGTAGGCAGTGGCGGGGCAAGACCTAAATTTGATGTGGGCAAGACAGATTTCGCGAGGCCCTGTTTTGTGGCGACCTGAAGACGAATTTTATAAAATAATAAAAAAAAGAAATTCGCTTTTAAGCAATGCATAAAAATTTTTGAGGCGTGAGGCCCCTTGTACCGCGAGGCCGTAAGTGGTGGCCCACGTCGCCCACGCCTTACGCCGCCTCTGATTGTAGGTTACGTCGCGAGTGATATTCTTGTATCTCAGGCGTCTTTGTACCTTTTTTTGTGACGCCGGCAAAACCTCTATTTACAAACGACGGCGCCTTTGAGAGGCACACCGCCGAACGGACCTCACAGCTGGCTCCCACAAGCTTTACGAGCCCCCGCAGTGGCTGCCCACTGAGGACCCAGTAACTCTTACGGGCGCTTTACGGCATAATATCCGCTAAAAACCCCTGCGAATACCCTCTAAGCTGCTTAGTGCGAAGCCGCGGGATCCCGGTTTAACGATTCACCCAGCAGCCTCCCGGCCTAGCCGGGGCTCCATGGCAGGGGTCTCCCGAGGTATTGCAGGAACCCCCCAGACGTGCTCTGTAAGCTACCTCAGCTTTATTTGCCACCATTTTCACTATAAACAATGGACTTCCAGGATACACGGCCAAATCGGCAGTCGTACCTACGAGTTGGCAGTGCAAAACAACGTGTCCATAATCGCAGACGAGACATCTGTGGGCGGGTATCGCTCAGACGGAACCCTATTGGATGACAATACGATGAACCTCATGAAAGAGCTGGTGGAAAAAGGGATGGAGATCGCCGCCGATTCACCAGAGCCACCCGAGCCTTTGGGACAGTACATTACCAGAAAGTAAGGATCCAGTTTTCATTGCAGGAAACCCAGTATTTTTGGTTTTTTTATGAGACTATTGAAAAAGATGTTTCATTGACGTACTGAGGCAAATAGTATTAGAAAATTCTATTAAGGTGACCTGTACCGTTAGCAAGAAGCATTATCGAATTCGAATAGTTTGCGAGCACGAAATGTCAATGTCAAATTTTGTATGGAAACTTGAACAGTAGAGCCACAAACTACGTAACGTGAACTAAAAATCAGTACACATTTGACAATGACATTTCGTACTCGCAAATGTTATGAATTCGATATTGGTTCGTGCTAAGGGTACAATTATCGTAGCAGTTGTTTTAAAACTTTTTTTAAATGCCTGCTTCCAAAGAAATTAACTAACGCACGTATTAAAATAAATTACAGAAATCACTAGATCAAAATCTACTCTGTGCGGCCTCAGACCAGAGTAGATTTTGATTGATTTCATGATGATCAGGAATTTTAACACCTCCGTAATCGTATCATCATCATCAGCCTATTAATGTCCCCACTGCTGGGGCACAGGCCTTCCCTATGGATGGAATAGGGAGATTGGGCCATGACCCACCACGCGGGCCCAGTGCGGATTGGTGGGTGCTAACGACTGCAGATGCAGCCGGGACCAACGGCTTAACGTGCCTTCCGAAGCACGGACGAACTCATGATAGTAAATTTTTGGTCACACATCCAATGACCGACCTCTGCGAAAGTTGCTTAACTTCAACGACCGCAGCCGAACGCGCTAACCACTTGCGTCATCGAGCTCCTCCGTCATCGAGCTCTTCGTAATCGTATCGTCATCGTCAAATTTTGTATGCAAGGAGCACCAGTTTTTTCTCACGTCCGACAGAGTCGCTGCTTACTTTTCATAGAAACTTTGACGATGCGTACCATTTGACGAGCTGTCAAATTTCGTGCTTGAACCTCAGTTTTACCGTTTGCACGTGAACAAATACAAATACCATATTATTCGTCCAACCAGATTAATGCAATATATAGAGAAGAAGCACCCTGAACTCCTGAACGACAAGGAGTTCTTAGCCCAATTCTTTGAGTACATGGACCTCAACATTGATACTTACGAAGCCACCACCAGCTGGAATGACGTCAGCACCGCCAGCCAATCCGTGGAACTAGAAGGAAACCAAGCCATGAGCTGGCATAGAAACGGATACAAGACGCTCTTCGAAATACTGTTGGTGAGTCAAGAAATTCCATGACTTTTGCAAAATAGGTTTGGTATTTAAAGCATCAAACTGCTTCCATAAAAAAAACGGACGGGTTGCACTCCGGGAGTGCCGGCAGAAGGGAAAACTTGAATATTAACGTTGTGCATTTTTGGTATTTGCATTTTTGGTATTTTGGAATGGTTAGGGAATAATTTTGCTTTAATTATCAGTAAAAAAGTACTATTATGTATGTGGTAGAATACAATATTTATTTATTGCGCTATCGTACACAAACATGACAATTTATATTACATTAAAAAAGTGTATCTCTCAGAAAAATCAACTTACATGAATCACACCTAGCGACATCTATAGTAAAAAATGCATTTTCTTCGCAATAAAGCTGCCACGTGGACGTCCTAGATAGAGTCTTATTATTATAATACGATAAAATAAAATATTACTAAGTTTCGTCCAATATATTCAAAGTCAACAACCTTTCTAATTTTATTGTGTGTCATGATGCGATCAGCCCACGTGTTTAACCTCACGCGAGTCTATCCCGTACAAAAAAAGTGTACAACGCCGTTAAAGAAGTTTTCACTTCAAAAATACTAGATAAAATCCAGTCGGAGCAGGTATCATAGAAGAGGAATACAGGATCTTTGCCAAAGTAGTATTCTAACTTTATCTCCAGTGTAGTTTAGTTTTGTGAAGTATTGTTAAGGTATGATGAGGTCTGCACCGTTAGCATGAGCACCAAAATGTGATATGATAAATAATAATAATATTCTTTATTGACATACACCTCATAGGACATACAACACATTGAACATGACAGTGAAAACGTTCACAATAGGCGGCCTTATTTCTAAACAGCAATCTCATAAAGTGCTTTATCAATACTGAACGTCGATATACAATAGAATTTGACAGTTGAGTGTCGATAAAAAGCGTTATCATATTGCGTTTTAGTGCTCAAACTACCCCCTAGTTTAGTTACAGGGGCATATTGAACCCAGAGCCAAAGTGAGGTTGGCATGTTCAATTGTTCGATAATAATAAAAGCCTCCAAATAAATCAGTGTAATCAAGTGAAAGTTGTCTTTCAATGAGCTTGATGGCGCGCGAGTTAGCGTGTTCGGTTTGCGATCGTGAAAGTTCAGGAGCTCTATTTTTGAATCACTCGTCTGACATAGTATCGTCGAATGCGACATAAGTCACCTTCGACTTTCAAGTCGCATAATACTGATTTTCCGTATTTTTGAATCACTCGTCACCAGTGTTACCTGTTTGATACGAAATACGAAATTTTACTCATTTCACGCAGAAATAATAAAAACCGGTAATTACTACTACTCTTTGTCGTTTCATATAAAGCATGACAATGATAGACTATCGTCGTCTAATAGCACAAAAGAATTGACAATTATTCTATCATTCGCCTCCACCATTCGCCATGCAGCGAGTGGTTTCACCCATTCGTTGCACTCGAGCGATTCAAAAATACGGAATTAATTATGTCGAATGAAATTTAGTAGAAATCGAGCGTTCGACGCAAGACGAGTGATTCAAAAATAGAGCTCCTGTAGCTTTTGCAATGACTGGTCATAAAATGAGGTACCAAAAATGTTTTATCTGAAGCTCATCCGTTTCTCAGAAGCCACGTTTAGCCTTTATTACGTAACTAGTGGCTAAAATGACTCTTCATATAATAATAAAAAAAACTGAAAATCGTATCAAATATAATCAGAATGCTCCAATCTGCTAAGCTATCAGGAGTTACACGTGTTATTGTGAGTCAACCATAAAAGATAGACATATGCTCATGCGGGATATTTTTTAGACAATTTTATGTAGAATATTTCCGTCATACATGATTTCTATGTAACTTTAACCATTAAGGCTGCACACGCGACGGAAGCTTAAAAAATGGAGTAACTTCTCCCGTTTCCCAACATTTACCTTCACTGCTCTGCTACTATTGATTGTAGCATGATGAATACTATAACCTGCCCAGGAGTATGAAGAATAATTGTACCAAGTTTCGTTAAAATCCGTCGAATAGTTTTTGTTTCTATAAGGAACATACATACAGACAGACAAAAATTTTACTGATTGCATTTTTGGCATCAGTATCCATCACTAATCACCCCCTGATAGTTATTTTGAAAATATATTTCATGTACAGAATTGACCTCTCTACAGATTTATTATAAGTATAGATCTATATCTATACTTATAATAAATCCGTACCCTATGGTACGGCCAGAGTGCACTCAGATTCAGACTCAGAAAACAAGCGCGAGAAATAAACAGTGTAGTTAAAGTTAAAGCAGGGTAGCCATAGTGGCAGCAGGCAACCTGCTTAAACTATACTGTATATTTCTCGCGCTTGTTTTCTGAGTTGAATCTGAATCTGAGTGCACTCTGGCCGTACCCATAGTCCCGTTTGCAGTCGTTATCACCTATCAATCTCTCATATTATGCTTACCATTAGTAATTATTATAGTCATCATCATCAGCCTATAAATGTGCCCACTGCTGGGGCACAGGCCTTCCCTATGGTGGAATAGGGATATTGGGCCGTGAACCACCACGCGGCGCGGGCCCAGTGTGGATTGGCGGGTGCTAACGACTGCAGATACAGCCGGGACCAACGGCTTCACGTGCCTTCCGAAGCACGGAGGAACTCGAGATAGAAGATTTTTGGTCACCCATCCAATGACCGACCACTGCGAAAGTTGCTTAACTTCAATGATCTTCAATGATCGCAACCGAACGCGCTAACCATCCGCGCCATCGAGCTCCTCTATTATTAGAGTATCATTATCTTAATTTTGACAACTTTTCTCTCTTCACGAAATGCTCGGGACAGCCCACGCTGAATATGTAAGTGTCGCCGCACACGGGCCACCGATCACAACCACAAAACGCCGCCACTGTGCACCGGCATATTTCTTGTAGTTTTCATACATTTAATATGGATTCGCCTCACACGGTACGCCGGTGGCCGCCACACGTTACAAATCGTCGTTGCTCGCTTCTTGTGGCCCGCACCGGCCATTTAATGCGCCGATACAAAACGCCGCCACACGTCACTCGCGCGATTCCCCACCCCTCTCTCCCTTACCTTAGTCGGCCGCTGTCGCGCGCTTCAGCCGCTTTAGTAGCCGCTTCTAGCTTCTCGTGGCGGCGTTTGTGGCTGTGGCGTGTAGCCCGTGTGCGGCGACACTAAATGATATTGATGTTTCTTTCACAGAACACGTACAGAAACGGATCAGGTTTGCCGACATTACAATACAAGCTGAACACTGAGGTGACGAAGATAACTTTGTCTGAGGCCCCGAATAAGGTCTTTGTCACTTGTAAAGATGGCAGCACTTATGCAGCTGACAACGTGATAGTCACACCTTCAGTAGCTGTTCTGAAGGAAAGGTTGGTTAAAATCGTGTCCGTGATGCTAGCGTACACATGATCAATATACTGATTTTCGTTATGCCATTAAATACTGCATAAATAGTGCCAAATTAGTTTAAAAATAAAAAAATAGTGCATCTTTAATTTAAGAAATAAAGACCATTACTGTGTACGCTAGCATGACGTCAAGCTAGCGTACCCATGGCCGTCCCTAAGAACGGCATATACTAGTATTTAAGCAACGAAATTGACACACAAAAATAGTTCGCAAATAGTGCCCTGGCTTTACAAAATTTCATAATCAATACTCTTAGGGCCAAATATATTGAACTAAATATTCTTAGCTGGCGTCAACCTGGCGCACCCATAATAGTTCTCATAGAAAATGAGCTTTTCTCGTTATCAATGCTATATGTATAAATAGTGTGTCAAATAGTGCCTCTTAACATTAAAAGTATTTTATGTGAATTCGCAGAATAACAATATAAAAAAAGCAATTAAATTATTTTCATATATGAAGTACAGTCATGTACAGATGTGATAATATTTTCGTAGTATAGTAGGTAAAACCAAGGCAAGTGATTGTCTGTGGTTTAAGGGCTCTATACTTAAAAGTTGACGCACGAACCCCATTAATATGCCTTCGCTGTGTATGTCGGTGTCAGAGCTCTATCTCCTAAACTGAAGCACTTAGCACAATACATACTCTTGTATGTATTAACAGTATGCCATGTTTATAGTTGATTTTAAGATATATTCATTGTGATATTTATCAAATCAATTAATATAATATGTGATGCATACCTAATGTTCAACAATTCAGTTAAATTTAATAATGAAGCGCCCCACGCTTTTTCAGTTATATAATCAACCATAAACCTATATACATATTTCTTTTACTAGCTATAAGAAAAAGAGAGAAAGAGAATGTGCTCGCGCGCTGCTTTCTCTTGCTTATACCCCCCACTGAACTCCCGTTTGCCTCGACCGAACACACTTTTCATATTGCGTAACGCATTCGTCAGCTTACCTCCCAAGTCAAGCGTGCGTAAAGAAGTTTCACTACAAAAACAGATATTAAACAGCGACGTGGTGGTAAATTCTGAACGCGGTTGGGCCCCGTGCGATGCTGCGCGTGCATCGTAAGAAAGTATCCGCCGCCACTGTCGTTCGTCCCCTTGTTAGAGACCCCTCCTCCCGTTAACGTGGAGAGTCGCCAGGATCCCACGAAACCCGTTCCGGCAGGCGCGGAAGCACTGTTGGGTTTTTATTGGGTCCCCTCATCCCGAGCAGCTGCTGAGGGGCCGTTCAAGTATTACGTAAGCACTATAGGGGGGCAGGGAGGTCTTTGCTTTGCTTATTTTTGATGACATGGGGGGTGGGGGGTCGAAATAGTGATTACGTCAGCATTATAGATTCGGGTGTCAAGGACTGAAGACTGTTAATTGGAATTAATATGTATACCAAAAATTCGAAAGAAGTTTGTTTTGTTCGTAATAGTACTTAATGAGATTATAATAATTGTACTATCGCGGAATTTTGCGCTCTGTCACTTGGCGAACAAAATGCTTTGAACGGTTTTCTACAGTAGTTTTTACTACGCCCCGCCTTCGCGTCGGACGCGCCAATCCGGGCCGCCGCACAAAAGTAAGACAGAGAGCATTTCATTGATTGAATAATGAATTGAATTGCATATGTTTTAGTTGCAATTTGTCATTCGCATCGTGATTGCGACAGCGCTCGCGCTATACGAAAAAGTAAGACAGCGATAATTACATGTCTATGAATGAATTTTTACTACGCCGCTACCGCAAGCGATTATGGCATTATGGGTGACAGAGCGGGTCTTTCCGCGAGTGTACCTTACTCTATGTTGAATTCTGTGTCAATAAAGTTTGTTTATATGAATATTATGTGCTGCTCATAGCGTTGCCAGGCGTCCGGATAAAGCCGAAAATAGTTAGGTTTTTTGATTGCGTGTCCGGCTTTTAATATTTCGCAAACGAGCGAGCGCCGGCGTGGCCGAGCGCAAGCGAGTTGACATGTCGGTCACTTATCTAATATAGGGCTGCCATCTCTAAAATGTGGCAACCAGGATAAGACGCGTGATAACCCCGGATTTTGAAGCCCAGAACCCGGACAGACCAATAAAAAAACAGTTAAAAATGTCACAAATCAACTTTTTTATGTTGATCTAGGCCAGAGTTCCCCAAACTTTTTTGTGTCGTAGACCCCTTGCAGGTTGTCATAGACCCCTAGGGGTCGATATAGACCACTTTGGGAATCACTGATCTAAGCAAAAGAGCTAGCGGTCTACCTCATAATAAGTGGTCACTGCTGCCCATGGACACTTGCAGCACCAAGGGCCACTCATGCGTTGCCGTAAAGTTTTGAACCCGGACTACAAATAAAACCCCGCCCGGACGCTCCCCGGACGCCCCGTAAACTAGGACACATCCGGGCGGATGGCAGCCCTAATCTAATATTACTGAGCTACCAAGTTCTCAATAATGAAGGATGTCCTTCCTGCCTTTTTACCCAAATGTCCGGGTAAACTGGGTGGTCTGTGTGCCTATTAGGTTTGGCGACCTGACAACCCTAGCTGCTCATGAAGCGCATGAATCAATAAAAAAGGAAATACATTAGAATCCGTTTATTATGACTCCGCCTATATTGACCAACCGCCTATTATGACGTAATTACACAACGAAGTTTGGTTTTCATATAAAATTCATTGTAACAATGTCGGATATAATGACTTCGCTTACAGTGACATGTCGCTTATTATGACCCATTTTTAATCAATTTTGTCCGTTTATAGTGACCGACATGGTACTTTACACCTACGGTAATGTTCGTTGATTCAAATTGAACATCAAGCATTGTTTTCAGTGATATCCTATGTAAAAAAAATGTCATCTCAACGTCGTAAAGCATTTACGACTGAGGAAAAAGGTGTAATAATATGCTGATTAGAAAATGGAGAATCAAACTCATCTCACAATCTTTTTTCACAAAAATGCTTTGTATGACGTCCGCTTAGTATGACGTGTTTGTCGATAAACGGATTGTACCGTATGCATATAGGAGGGGTAAATAATTGTAATAAATCTGCTTACGTAATACTTGAACGGACCCTGAGCTAGTTTGGCTGAGTAGGTGGGCGGGATTTGGGGGGAGCAGGAGTTCCACATAACCCCGTCTCTCATCCAGGGGCGGGGTATGCGTCACGCATTTTCCTAACAATAAAAAAATGGTCCCTCCTCCCGCACATCTCCTCCCGTGCAAGGGCGGATCCAGCTTTGGCGCCAGGGGGGGTCATATAGCCAGCTTTGGCGCCAGGGGGGGGTCATATAGTCGTGGTTTATTAAATATTGAAAGTACTTAAATAAAATCCCCCTGGGTTTGGTCCATCTGTACCCAGCCCAGGGGGGGGGGAGGTCATGACCCCCATGTAGTGTTAATTATTACACTGTGGTCTTCTGAAGGTGAAGTTTACTTCTGAAGACATAGGGCTTTCCAATGAGGGTGCTTAGGAAAATTCACAACACTAGTTGGCGCCACTGTGCCGTAAGGTCTTTTGTATGAAGTTTTTGGCGCGAACTAATCGAACGAGAATTTAAATTTATTCATAGACTATGACAACATATTCGATTTGACGGATGAGTAGACCTTTCGCCTCAGTGCTGCCACCTGGCGCTCGTCATTTCAGAAAACCCTCATTCGAGCGGAAAATCCGCTATAGATAAGTAATCTAAAGCGGCTATTAAGCCTCCTTTGATTCATTATTATATCAACCTACTAATGTCCCCACTGCTGTGGCACAGGCCGTCCCTATGGATAGAATAGGGAGACTGGACTGTGAACCACCACGTGGGCTTAACGTGCCTTCCGGAGTACGGAGGAGCTCGACGTTTTTGGTCAACCATCCAATGACCGACAATTGCGAAAGTTCCTGAAATCACGATCGCAGGCAAAATGGCCACCTGTGCAATGGAACTTCTCTCCTGGTTTGATTCGGTTTGTGAAATCATATTGACGACCTCCGCGGCCTAGTGGTGTGTACGCCGGGTTTCATGGTGTTGCAGACTCGAGAGGTCCCGGGTTCGAATCCCGGTGGGGGCAGATGTTTGTGTGATGAATACGAGTATTTGTACTCCCGTCATGGATGTTATTAAGTATTTTTTATATAAATATACTTAGATATGTACAGTAGGTATATGTATTCTATCCGTTACCCTAGCATCCCATAGCACAAGCCTTATTCTGCTTACTCTTGGCTAGGCTAATTGGTGTGAGTGTTGGAAATATTTATTTATTTATATTTGTTTTCCCACAGACACGCAACCCTGTTTTCGCTGCCGCTACCAAAAGACAAGGTGGACGCTATCAACAACATCAAAATGGGAGTCGAAAGCAAGATTATGTTCCGATTCCCGAACAGGTGGTGGGGCGATAACGGTTTCTTTGCATTCTTGTGGAGAACAGAGGATAAGAGCGGGACAGAAGATGTGTGGGTGAAGAAAATCCCTGCAGTCAGCACTCCTATGGGAGCCAGTAATGTGCTCACATTGTGGCTCACCGGGGATTATGCGGTTATGGTCAGTATATATGCCATGGCCGTACTCAAAGATGTAAAATAAATATGATGTCTTAAGAAAACTACTTCAGTTAGAGAAATTTCGACACGGCCGTCAGGGCCGCGGTAGCATAATGGTCAGTGCATTCGCCCGGATAAGCGTATTAAGCGAAGGGTGCGAGTTTGAGCCCCGTCTGCTGCCTGGTCCGCTTGGATTTTTTTCTAGTAAACTTTTCTTTATTTTGAACCATCTAGCAATTAAATGCTATGATGTCATTTAACGACCTATTAGACGACCTCAGTGGCCGAGTGGTTTGTACATGTCGTGGCCATATCGTAGATTTGCTCACTTCATGAAATGCTCGTGCATTTCATGAAATGGTCACATTTCATGATGTGGCCAACTTAATTTGACCAGATCATTAAATCGTCAACATTTAACGATTTGGTCATCCACATTTGGCCGGATCGTATAATTAGGGTGTCCATAAAATATTTATTAAAAATCCAGAATATGTAAGAACTTGTTTATTGTTATTTAAGTCCGATTGACACAAACAATTTTAATCAAATTTTTGTAACAAAATAAACAAATTAAAGATTTTTTTTCCTAAATTAAACATCAAACATGCCAAGAACTTACACATTTATATTTAGAAAACTATCAAATATTTAGAAATAATAAGGTACTTTGATACATATTACAATAGTAGACTTAACTGTTTTTCCAGGGCCCAAACGGTAATACTTCACACTAGGTTAGGTTAGTGTTATGACCATGACGCGCGAGCCGAGCGAGCAAAACGAGCGTGCCGCGGCAGCGGCCGGCGAAGCGCCAGAAAAAAAAACTCTATTAAAAGAGACCTTTTCTACAAAAAAAATTCAAGTATCACCTCTTGGGCCCTGGAAGTACAGTTTTACAGTATATTTTTGTACGGCATTGATTCTCATCCGCACTTTGTACCTCAACCGCAGTTTCCAAAATGTCATATTTTGACAGCCAGTAATAGTCCATAGATTTCTTTTGCGTAGTCACCCTACTCTCCTTAATTTGTTTCGTCGAAAACCCTTTTGTTAACTTTCTTCCTCATTAAATAACGAATTATGCACTTTTTCAATGCGAGAAACAACATTGTCGGCACCGGCCGCCCAAGGCCGGATCCAGAGGGGGGGTCATGGGGGTCATGATTTTTGTCATTTCATGAAGTAGCCACGCGTTTAGTTGGCCATATCGTGAAACGATTTCTCATCATTGATCTGCCCAAACCACATCATGATGTGGCCAATAGATAGTGAAACATTTCATGAAATTCTCGAGCATTTCATGAAGTGATCAAATCTACGATATGGCCACGACATACATATAAATTGAAATTTTCAAAGGGAACGGCATGCGAAATAAGTTTGAGAGGAAAACCTGTGATATACAGCGATTTTTTTCAGGCAGAGAATCTTCCGGATGATGAAGTCAGAGCGAAAGGGATGGCTCTGTTGAGAAGATTTCTGGGCGCAAACATTACTATACCCGAACCGGTAGAGATGTTAAGGTATGTCTGTCTGTTATTATATTTAGTTATACATATAGTTTTTTTGTTTAAATGTTGGCGAACACAAATGGCACTTCTGACGGTAAGGCTCTATAGATAATGAAAAGGAGATAGTGATGTCGATTCTGGCATGATTCTCTAAAGCTAAACTTAAAATTGACAACAGTGCATCCTTGTCATTCTCTATACAGAATGAAAAGGAGAGACTGATGTTAAATTTAGTTTTAAGTTTAGAGAATGACGCTAGAATCGACACCACTATTTTCAATTTTAAGTTGAGAGAATCGTGCCAGTATTAGATGCATTGCCAACCTAACTAAAGCAGTATGAGTAACATAGCCAAAGGAAATGTAACCGATTTTTTTTTAAAGTGTTGGAAACAACGACAAACTGAAAGCTTGATAATTAAGTAATTGTAACTTTGCATGTACTCATCATTTGTAATAAACATGTACGAATTGCTATTAGCATATGTATTGTTTGTATGTACTTATTTAACACTGCACTGGCTGTATTTTATGTAACCATTTCAAGCTATTGGAGAGAACTCTCCCATAGCTTGGGAGAATGGCTTTTCACTGGCACAAGTGTCTTCACACTTAAAAAACGGGAATCCAGAGGTTGGATTCCCCTTTTTTTAGTGTAGTGTATATAAAATACAGCCAGAGCATCCACTGCACTGGCTATATTTTATATAACCACTTCAAGCTATGGCAGAATGGCTTTCCCTAGCACAAGTCTTCATACTTAATTGTTGGGGAATCTAACCTCTGTTATTGTAACACGCTTTTTGTTTCTAATAAACATTTTTGATTCTTAGGTTTCCAACACCACTCACTAAATAAAGCAAGTTTCAATGGTATAGATGCACTTATTTATTTATTAATTTAAGGTTTGCATCCTTTTCAGGATGCGTCTGCCATCATAATTCAGACGACCCATCCTGAAAAGGATACGAAACGTCAATAAATAAATAAATCAGTGCATACCGTTGAAACTTGTTTTATTTAATAAACATTTTTGTTTCTTTTTTAAACAGTCACGTGAACGTGACCGTTGGGTACTCTTAGCACGAACCAATATGAAGTTCGTATCGTTTGCGAGTCTGAAATGTCATTGTCAAATGTGTAATGATTTTTAGTTCTCGTAACGTAAGTACTTTGTGGCGCTGCTTTTCAAGTTTCGATACAAAATTTGACATTGACATTTAGCACTCGCAAACTATTCGAATTCGATAACGGTTCATGCTAGAGGTAGGTACTGGTGTCAATTCTAGCATGATTCTCTAAACCTAAACTTAATTTTGACAGCAGTATATCCTTGTCATTCTCTATACAGAATGAAAAGGATAGACTGATGTTAAATTTAGTTTTACGTTTAGAGAATCACGCCAGAATTGGCACCACTGTATGCTTAGATTAAAACAAAAAGGGTAGATACGGTACGCTCATACTTGCATCAAACAAAAACTGATCCCACGGCAGCGCGAACGGGACGACGAGATTGTAAAAGCAGTGAGAGCTGGCAGTGGTGAAGGGCAACGTCAAAATCCACAAAGGCATAAAAGCAATTCGTTCTGGAGCAGGTGGTGGCGGCGGCGACAATTGAAACGCAGACACTTTTCAAAGAATACAATTCTCAAATACAAATATTACACTTTGCAAGGAATATAAATCGGTAAAATTTAACACTATACGATGCAAATTAAACAATATTAACATGGATAGCAAGCGATCTAAATGCAACAGCAAAATCCCTACATGACGACATTTTTCCAAGAGAACGATTAGGGCAGAGTCAATACATCTATATAAAAAGTAGTCTATGGCTACACAACATAAACCATGGACTTAATGCTAATGCAAGAGAGCATATACATGTTCAACAGAGATCCGCGTCACTGCATTACCGACCCGAACGAAACAGCACGTTAAGTTTCAACGGCAGCGCGAACGAGACGGCGAGATCCGCGTCACTGCACTACCGATCAATCACGCGACCAGTACTCGACGTCACTATCGAATAAGATTCAAAACAAACAGCAATTTTTATGAAAAAATATATTTTATAGTACTTACGAATGAAAAGTGATGCTGTGGGTGTTATTTTTAGGTATTGAGCAATTTGAGCACTTTTTAAAAACACACTTATGCATTCTTTTATCATATAAACACAAAATAATAGCAATATTTCTTTTTGGCGTTCACATGTACGTCGTTTACATGGCAAGTTGTGACTAAAGCGATTACGGTCGTGGATCACAATTCATGCGGATCACTTTTGTGAGGCTAGTACCGTACCTACCCTTTTTGTTTTAATCTAAGACTGTATGACGGTAAGCGGTCACCATAGCTGTTTTAAGTAAAAAGCGTGGCATACAAGGATATGGATGGCCCGCCTGATGGTGAGCGGTTGCCATATCCTATAGAAGCTATATCACTCGCGCCGTTCTCTATCCTAACCTAATCGCTTACCCCTAGGCTTGGAGCCCTGAACGCCTCCGTTTCCTCCCACACAGGCCACAAACACTAACACTACACAGCTAGCAAACTTCCCCACTAGCTAAAAATTAGGCAGACACTGGTGTCGATTCTGGCGTGATTCTCTAAACTTAAAACTAAATTTAACATCAGTCTCTCCTTTTCATTCTGTATAGAGAATGACAAGGATACACTGTTGTCAAATTTAAGTTTAGATTTAGAGAAACATGCCAGAATCGACATCACTGCACCCGTAGGAGAGTGCGAAGACCACAATTTATAACTGCTGTACTAGCGTTTGGACTTTATCACCACTAAACATCAGGTGGTCTAGAGTCATTTGCCTATCTGACTATATAAAGAAAAAGTGTTGCTAGCAATGTTCCTTAGGGGGCGTCCATAAATTACGTGAGATGTTTAAGGGGGGAGGGGGTCGAGTCAAATCTCATCTAATCTTACGTTGGAGAGGGGGGAGCTCGGCAAATATCACGCAATTTTTTTGTGTGATAAATGTTGCATGTTGATATGTACATGCTTAAGATTTAATCTGAAGCGTTATCGTAATACGATTAAGATCATTCACTAATTCGTTCGAAAGAAATTGATTACTAGTCTTAACTAGTCGTAAACAAAAGCACGAAGCAATTTTTTTTTTCTTTTTACAATAACAATCCAACGTTTGCGTAAGAAACCCACATTTTGAAAAATCTCAAGTGAGATTAGGGGATGGGGGAGGGGGTTGAATAAAATCTCACGACATCTCACCAGGGGGGGAGGGAGGGACAGAAAATTCAAAAAACACCTCACGTAATTTATGGACTCCCCCTTAGGTCTAGTGTCTAGTATCCAATGATCGCAAGCGGAAAGCACTTTTGGTCTTGCCACTAATTTCATTTACTTCCAGATCGTTATGGCACAAGAACCCTCACGTTCTAGGCAGCTACACGTACGATGATGTGGACTACCCCCACCACGTCACCGCGCGCGCCGATCTCGCTCGACCAATCACAGACGAGAACGGCGTCCCGAGAATCTTATTCGCTGGTGAAGCGACGCACACGCAGCAGTTTTCGACGGTGCACGGAGCAGTCGACACGGGGTATAGGGAAGCGAACAGACTGCTAGGAAATACAGTTTGAGTTCCGAATAGAGCGTTTCATTTGTTTGAGTTACAACTTTTTTAGGTTAAATTAAAACAATGAACCCAGCAAAGATTTTCGAGACAGAAAGTAATTTGGCCTTACGATTTTGTTGTCTTCGATAGCTTTTAGAGCAACGCCGGTCTGCCTGTATTTACATAAGTTTCCCGGATATTTGACGACCTCCGTGGTCGAGTGGTTTGTACGCCGGGTTTCATGGTGTCGCCGCCCGACTCGAGAGGTCCCTGGTTCGAATCCCGGTGGGGGCAGATGTTTGTGTGATGAATACGTGCATTTGCAGTCCAGTCATGGATGTTTAATATGTATTTCTATATAAATATACTTATATATGTACAGTATATGTATTCTATCCGTTACCCTAGTATCCAATAACACGAGCCTTATAGTGCTTACTTTGGGGCTAGGCTAATTGGTGAGTGTGTTGTAAATATTTATTTATTTATTTATATTGTGGGAATGTGATCTTGATTTAGTCCTCACTGTCCTTCACGTAATCTGGTGATTTAGCCGATTTTCCTTTGAAAGGTAAGGTAAAAGAAAGGTAGAAACTAGGTAATTTGGATCGGGGCTTTTCCGATGTCGACCGATCGCTATGGCGTCGTAGTCAGGGCCGGATTTAGAAGTGTTGGGGCCCTGGGGCTACAAAGGAGTGGAGGCCCCTAAATCAAGGCCCGAGCTCTTACGTTTAGCAACCCCAAAGGGTTTGGTGACCTCTGTTGTGGGGGCCCCTGGGCCACAGCCCCACCTGCTCTGTCTTAAATCCGGCGCTGGGTAAAGGTAAAAGAACAAAAAAAAATCAAAGGGTAAGATGTTTACTAGTGTTTACTAGTTGGAAATTGAAAGATTTTTTTCCGAAGTCTCTATTGTGGGGCCCCCCGTTTGTGGAGGCCCCGGGGCTTTCGCCCCGGTTGCCCTCCCCTAAATCCGGCAGTGGTAGTTGTAACAGTCAACTGACAGATACTGGTATCAATTCTGACATGATTCTCTAAACCTAAACTTAAATTTGACAACAGTGTATCCTTGTTATTCTCTATACAGTATGAAAAGGAGAGACTGATGTTAAATTTAGATTTAAGTTTAGAGAATCACGCCAGAATTGGCACCACTGCCTGTCTACCCTCGTATTACAAAAAAAATCGTCCAAGGGATAGGAAAAGGTGAGTAAAAGGATGTTATGTTGCGTTATCATATCTAACGCATTCAATATGTGTGAAACCGAACAAAAGATTTAACATAGAACTGTTATGATGACACCAGGCCCCGTAGCATGAGCACCACATTTTTTTTTGTTTCTGTGGCTTTCTCTGTTTTACACAGAAATTTCGCCAATGTCCAGTAGTGAGAGAGACACGAGAAAGACTGCTCGGTAGGAACAGATTAAGGTGATATAAATTAAATAACCGATTATACGTTCTTCCTTGAGTATTTCACTTTTCTGAAAGCACACACACATGCAAAGACGTCACAGGTTAAACAATATTAATTTATATGACATGGGTAGAGCAGACAATTATGTCATCATCATCATCATCATCATCAGCCTATTAATGTCCCCACTGCTGGGGCACAGGCCTTCCCTATTGATGGAATAGGGAGATTGGGCCATGACTCACCACACGGGCCCAGTGCGGATTGGTGGGTACTAACGACTGCAGATGCAGCCGGGACCAACGGCTTAACGTGCCTTCCGAAGCACGGAGGAGCTCGAGATAGTAAATTTTTGGTCACCCATCCAATGACCGACCACTGCGAAAGTTACTTAACTTCAACGATCGCAGCCGAACGCGCTAACCACTTGCGCCATCGAGCTCGTCAATTATGTATTTCCAAACAAAAATAGAAATGTTATTAAAAGTTAATATTGTAATCTATACTTATAATAAATCTGTAGAGAGGTCAATTCTGTACATGAAATATATTTTCAAAATAACTATCAGGGGGTGATTAGTGGTCGATACTGATGAAAATAATGCAATCCGTAAAATTTTTGTCTGTCTGTCTGTCTGTGTGTATGTTCCTTATAGAAACAAAAACTACTCGACGGATGTTAACGAAACTTGGTACAATTATTCTTCATACTCCTGGGCAGGTTATAGTATACTTTTCATCACGCTACAATCAATAGCAGCAGAGTAGTGAAGGGAAATGTTGGGAAAACGGGAGAAGTTACTCCATTTTTTAAGCTTCCGTCGCGTGTGCAGTCTTAATGGTTAAAGTTATATAGAAATCATGTATGACGGAAATATTCTACATAAAATTGTCTAAAAAATATCCCGCATGAGCATATGTCTATCTTTTATGGTTGACTCACAATAACACGCGTAATTATATAAATAAAGTCATTGTTTATAGCACAAACCTGAGAACAAAAACTATAGTTTACACTACAGCTCTATACCGAAGCGAAGCGAGGGCGGGCCACTAGTTTTTTATAAATTTACATAAACACAAAAAGCCAGGTTTGTTGGTTAATGTTAGAATTGTATTAATGTTAACGGGGCGTACAGTTTTGGGTGGAACTAGAGAATATAGAGATGGGTGTTTTTGACAGTTGAAAAAATGTGGTCTACAGTGCCTTCCTTGAGTCCACACTCACAAATGGAGCTGTCTAGTATTCGTAATTTGGAAAGAAAGACTGGCGAGGTAACGTAGCCGAGACTAAGACGCACCACAATTTACATTAAGTTTATCACTTTTTTTTTTAAACACTTATTTATTTATTACATTTTAATAATAATAATAAGTGTTTATTTCAGGCACAGTAACCCATATTAAAAATTACAATAACAATTGCATTTTGTCCAATTTTGTCTTAAAATTAAATCATTGTATCACAATTCGTCAATTATTAAAATTAAATTCAGACAATAACAATAATATTAATAAAAATAAATAAAATATAATAAAAAACTATATGACATAGTTTTACATACTAGATTAAATGAAATAAATTAAATTAATTATTAAATATAAAGAGTACATGCTACACCCAGATGTTGACGCTGTAATCAAAATCTATATTTTTTCTATTTTTATCTGACACGACGAATACTTAGACGAGTGATGTATGCTTAAAAATATAAACATTCCCGGTACTCATCAGCCTATTAATGTCCCCACCGATGGGGCACAGGCCTTCCTTATGCATGGAATAGGGAGATTGGGCCATGAGCCACCACGCGGGCCCAGTGCGGATTGGCAGGTGCTAACGATTGCAGATGTAGCCGGGACCAACGGCTTATCGTGCCTTCCGAAGCATGGAGGAACTCGAGATAGAAGATTTTTGGTCACCCATTCAATGACCGACCACTGCGAAAGTTGCTTAACTTCAACGATCGCAGCCGAACGCGCTTACCACCAGCGCCATAGAGCTCCTCTCTGTCTTCCCGGTAAACAACCGGTAAATTTTCAGTTCCATTATTTATTTAACGTTCTAGGCAACTATATACTTATGGGCGCCATTTTATTTAGGGGAGAATAAAAAAAAACAAAGTAATAAAGTGTTGTATTTTTATTTACTAATTTCAAACTGTACAAAAATTATCACTTTTCACTTTTACACATTATGGCACCTTATTTATAGGTATCATTAACAACATATGTAATAATTCAAATTGCTTGTAACTAAAACATAATAGGTAGGTATAATTCATATAAATGCCTTGATTGTATTGCACATAGATTTTCAAAAATAAAATTCATCTGGGTTCATATAATTTATAGGTCAAAGTTATAAAATATTGTATTAAACTTTCATGGTCACTAACATGTAAAAAACAAGGTACATACATGGTAACAATCCCGTTAATAGTTATAAATGATGGCAATTCTTTTTTTCTTCGTTCATCAGGTAAATTATTTATCAAAGAGTATTGGAGACGTATTTTTTCTTTTTTCACATAATTTAAACATTTCAGAGATATATTGATTTGAAAAGTCGCATGACGTCACGTTTTGGTACAATTCCCACTTAAAAGTGATGTCACGAGCCCCTACTCCCAAACTTTGACGCGCTATAACTTTGTCATTTTTTGGTTGATTGCCCAAAGCAAAAATAAGTGTCGTCCGTCATCACCCCTATTATAGCCTTTATTATGATATGCAATAGAGATTTTTAATAAATCATATCAACCTTTTATTTAGGGAGTTGTTAAGCACCTTTTGTCTGTGTTGTGTTAGTTTTACAGGTTATGAACTTCGAGAAAGAACAAATTAACAAACATTCAATCACACAAAACGTGTAATTAATATTGAAACTTCATAATAAACGCACTCGTGTATGGCAGAAAATTGTACCCTTATCACGAACCATAATCGAATCGAATCTGAATAGTTGAATTCGATCTAGATATACGTCAAATGTGTACTGATTTTTAGTTCTCGTTGTCTGTTGTAGCGCTGCTGTTCGAGTTTTCATACAAAATTTGACATTGAAATAACACACTCGCAAACTATTCGTATTCAATAATCGTTCGTGCTAGGGGTACTGTACCCTTGTATATATATATACATATACTTATTTAAAGTCTATTCGAAGCGATAGCAAAAACGCCGTAGAAAAAACGCTCGTGAGTACAATCCTAAAGGTAGGAAATCCAAATATTATGTAAATGACATGGCTTCGGTAAAAAAATCATGCATTCCACAAATTGGTTAAAGTTAGTTCATACAATACAGCAATAATGGGGACATTTAAAAACATCACAAATAAAATGGTACAAAGATGTCACTGTCAAATTATAAAGTTTTTTGGTACAGTCAATGAATTTTATTTATCTTTAAAACGAAAATAACGAAAAACACAAATATTACTCTTACAAAAAAAAAACAAATTATTGCACACTTGTATTAATTTGCAGAAAAAGAACATGCCAATTTCAATAAACAATAAAATAGTTACCTTATTAAGTAAAAATTAATATTTTTTCGAGTCACAAGAACGGACAGTTGCAGACATCACCTGATACCAAAATAAAAATTATTACGTTCGATAGCACTGTCTCGCACACTGTATTTTTAATTATTAGTGCTTTGACGCTTGCAGTCCATATCATCATCATCATCAGCCTATTAATGTCCCCACTGCTGGGGCACAGGCCTTCCCTATGGATGGAATAGGGAGATTGGGCCATGACCCACCACGCGGGCCCAGTGCGGATTGGCGGGTGCTAACGACTGCAGATGCAGCCGGGACCAACGGCTTAACGTGCCTTCCGAAGCACGGAGGAACTCGAGATAGATGTTTTTGGTCACCCATCCAATGACCGACCACTGCGAAAGTTGCTTAACTTCAACCATCGCAGCCTAACGCGCTAACCACCTGCGCCATCGAGCTCCTCAGTCCATATGGGCCATCCAAAAAGTATGTCACACTTTAAGAGGGAGGGAGGGGGTCGACGAAGTGTGACATCACAGAACACAGAAAGAGGTTAGATCTGGAGCTCTATTTTTGAATCGCTCGAGTTTTTGAAACTAATCCAGAACTGATGTTTAAAATTAATTAATCATTTCTAGTTATGTTTTTATTTTTTTAAGCATTTAACTGCTAGATGTTTAAATCTAATGAAAAGCTTTACTAGAAATAATACCACGCGGACCAGGCAGCGGACGGGACTCGAACCCGCACCCTTCGCAATCCGGGCGAATGCACTAACCAATTATGCTACCACGGCCCTGATGGCCGCGTCGAAATTTTCCTAGCCTTAAGCTGCAAGGCAGCGCCACCTCTTCACATTGTAGGTGACCCATATAATCATTTCTTTAAGCAAAATATGTGACGTCACACTAGTTAGGGAGTCACAAATGTGACCAACTGTGTCAAGGGCGGGGAAGGTATAAACATCACGAAATTAGTGTAACATACAGACTGTGATGACCCCTATGTATGCACCCAGTTATTAATGTGGTAGGTAAATTTTATATTATACCTACTTTTTATGTGTAAAGACGAATCTCTATAAAATCCATTTTGATTTGAAAACTACTTAAAATATATTATTTAAAAAAATATCACCGTCACCAGTTTATTTATATTCTACAAAGGAAAATAAATGCATGTCAAACAAACATACTGTGCAACAGGGATATTCATGAATGTAAGTGAGAGTGACAGTTCTGTTCTGTCCTATGATTTTTGAAGTTATACTTCTTTAGGCGCGTTCTGAAAAATTGTTGAGAGTGAAATTTTAAGATGCGCGCGCATCATGTAACACAAAAAATTAACACATTGAAGTTGGTCGCTTTAGCGACCAACTTCATGTGCCGCGCTGCCATTGCCGCGTCGCCCGCCGCACCGTACGCATGCGCGGCCACTCGCGGTCCTAGCGCGGGAAACACGTGCAACAAACATCGGGAAAAGTTACGAGTTTTGAATTTAGAACAGAGACCGTTTTCATATCTATATATATAAAAATGAAACCCGTTTTCCGTTGTCACGACATAACATGAAAACGGCTTGACCGATTTGGCTGTTTTTTTTTTTGTAGTTTTCTAATACTCTGTACAAGGTTCTTACGGAAAAAAATATAAAGAAAATCCCAAGGGGATAAAATAAGGAATGAAAGTTTGTATGAAACTTTATCAATTTTAAACCGATCGGGCTGAGACTTTGCATGCAGGTATAAGAAGAATCATAGATGAATGTCATTGTGTATAATACAAGCCTGAGAACAAAAACTGTAGTCTACACTTCAGCTCTACACCGAAGCGAAGCGAGGGCGGGCCGCTAGTTTATAATATTTATCCACATGTTTCTAGTTTGTATATTCGGAATACGTGTTTGAGTTTCATACAAGTGCAAATCACATATGTTCTAATAAATTATATTCAGTAGCGATTTTAATTGAATATTTTGATTATTTATTTATTTTTTCAAATTAAAACTGAACTTTATTGACTGTGTCCTTTTCCAGACTTTTTATTAATTTATTGTAATTAATTATTTGCATGCAATTAAAAACTAATTTTAAACGATGCCAAAGAAGGATAACTTCTCACGCGCCTACATAAGTACACACACCCATTTTTTAGTTAAAAGTTTTGTCACATACATAAAGATCCTTGTAACTCTATACTAAAGTTCAGACTGTAAAAAAATATCTGAATCGATTTTCAGCCTTAGTCATCAGGATTATAGTTCAAAATTTATTGCAGAATTTTGACATTTGGTGATAAATTGTCATCCGTACATAGGGTTACTATTTAAAATTTTGAAAAGTCCTGACAAAAAGCCGGACATTTCGATAAAAGTCCGGACATTTTAGTCACAAATTTAAAATCACCCACTTAGATACAGTGATATTATACGCGTGGTAGCAGACGCTCGCATCGTGAGGGGGGTCTCGTTGTTGATTTTTAAAGATGATTTATATTTTGTTTTACATTAATGAGAACTTAATAAGGATTATTTGACTTATTTGATATAACTTAATAAGTAGTTTAACTCATATTTCGTAATTAAAAAAAAACCGGACATGTCCGGACAAATCCGGTCGGATGGTAACCCTATCCGTACATAACAGTACGCTGAAAGAAAATAACTTTGATCTTAAAAAGTAAATGTTAAACACATTTGTTAATTCAACAGAAAAGTAAAATACTTCATACCAGAATAGATTACAGAATGTATATTTGGCAATTATATAAATGACACAGAAGTACAAGCTGTAGCTTGAGTAGTTCGTTCTTTCGTTCGTTTCAAACCATATTAATTAATATGGTTTTTAACACAACATGTTTTAGAATACCGTGCACTTAAACACCTACATACCTACTCGTGAATAGAAGTTGACAACCAACGATATTAAATACCCTAGATACACCAACACGAACAAAATCGTGGCCGAAACCTATCCTAAAGGTAATTTGAACGATCCACGGAGCTCCGTAAGATGACCGCGTAGTCAAAATCAATATAAGGCATTATTTAAATGTTGAAAGTAACCTTTAATAGATATTATATAAAATCTTAAATAAAACGCATGCGTCAAGGTCTTCTGACAGTCCGAAATGCAAGCTCGTAAAATTTTACGACTTATATATACGGAAGAATTTAGACCTTAGTTCTTTGATTCTACGCGCAAGAGCGCGCTGTTAGCAATATAGCAGGCACTGACCGCGAGGAAAAGAGACGGCTATATGGCGAGGTATAACCGACCATGCATTTAAATATCACAAATATTTTATATTAAATCAGTTTATAGTAAGTATTAGATCAAAATTTACTTCAAATGCGTTAAATTAACAAACATTGACTAGATATCTGTCGAAAAAACGACACTTTTCGTATTCTAAGTATTATTTTCGCATTGTTTCGCGGAGCTCTGTGGCATCTTGACTCTGTAACGGTCCGCGCGTGACTGTGAACCAAGAAGTGCTTGAGTGGAGTTCAAGCACGGACACATTTTGAGTGCTCGTGGTATATCTAGGGTATTTAATATCGTTGTTAACAACCAATAAAATCACAGCTATACACAAAAATAAAAAAAATGAAAATTAACAATTATATTTGTTATTTATTTATTTAGTTATCACGCACATCAATCATTAAAAGAAAATACTTTTTGAACGGCTATATAGTTCATAACTATTTTCTTGTCAATATGAAATAATAAAAAAAAGCGTTTTATAACATTCAGTGTCAAAAATAATATAAAAAAACTAACATATTAACTTGCTTTATACTTGATCATCTCCAAGCATAAATTGAAAGAATAGTAATAATAACATTCGTCTCCTTCACCCTTACTTGTTGACTGGAAGATAATGCCTATAGCATTAAGTCCGCCATTACTGTTTTTAGTACTGTATTTTGGTAATAAAGAATAAAATAAATAAATAATAATGATTTAATTCCAATTATCACAACAATTATACAGAGTTATAGCCCCCACACGAGGCTTCCGTTCAAAAAGTATTTTATAGTTTTTGTACAATTATTTATTGGGATTATTTTTTTATCATTAAATCTTACTCTTCGGTAACAATCTCGCCGCTTCCCTACGTCCGCTGTCCACCGCACCGTGCACGGTACTGAAGTGGGTAGCTTCCGTCGCTTCGCCAGCGAATAGGATTCGTGGGACCCCAGCGGAGTCTGTGATTGGCTGAGCTAGGTCCGCGCGCGCGTTCGGATGGAGGGGGGAGTCTATGTGATCGTATGTGTAACTACCGCGGGTGTAAGGATTGGTGTACCAGGAAGACCTAGACAATGCAAAAAAAAAACATTTGATTGGACTGTAATTTTTTCTAATAACCACGTTTGGGTATATTTTTAGTTGCCAATAAAAGATATGGGCAAATAGTTTTACTTTAAAAAAGATACAATCTACATAAAAGAAACAATATTGTTTGTATGGGCATTTTTTTCTCTAACACCAGTTATGGGCATAACTTAATTGGTGATAAAAAAACGGGCAAATTACCAAAATGAATGAAATAATATTGAAAAATTTGTTGTCGGGGATCGAAACCTACCAATTATACGAAAATGAAATAATATCCCTTCACGAGCAAAAAAAAATTATAGAATAAGTCAACCATTATTAAGTAAAATACAAATATGATGGGAGACCCTTGCTATCTCCCTCATACTCGTAAAAAAATAATAGTGACGTTTCATTTGACGTTTTTCCTTCCCCCTAGATTGGGACACTTCGTAGTATTTTTTTTAAATTCAACAATTTTCATAATCAATTCAGTAGATCAAGAGATTACACCCTACAAACGTCACAATTCACAAACTTTTCCTTTTTATATAATAGTATAGATATAGATTTCAAACAACAAGACAGTCAAATACTCAAAAAAAATATTACCTGATCATCTCCACGGGCTCTGGAACAGTCACGTTGGCTCCCATGAATCGCCTGAGCAACTCCATTGTTTTCCTCTTAACTACATCTTCTGGTAATGTTTCTATCTGCAAACACATTGCACTAAATAATAATTAATAGTAATGAGTGGAATGCCGAATAAATGATTTTTGTTTTGATTTGAATTTATTGGAACATGAACTTAACATTTTGGTTCAGACAACACCCTAGAGAAAAGAGTTTTGAAAAACCAAATTCTACAAAACCCAATAATTTTACAAGTGACAAGAAATTAGATATCAATTCATTGAAGCAATCAATACTAAGGTCTCTTGCATGAGGTGACTGACTGACTGACATAGTGATCTATCAACGCACAGCCCAAGCCACTGGACGGATCGGGCTGAAATTTGGCATGCAGGTTGACGTTATGACGTAGGCATCCGCTAAGAAAATATTTTGATCAATTCTACCCCGAAGCGAAGCGAGGGCGGGCCACTAGTCTAAAATATTTACCTTTGCCTAGTACTAAGCCTGAGAAGTGTATATTAATTTAGTATTTTATAACGTTTTTTTATTTTGAACATAAATTTGCTTGATTTACAAATCTGTTTTGCAGCCTAAGCCACACTGGAAACTAGATGAAATTCGAAACGGCCATTGAATTGACAGATTGGATTTTTTCTTCTAAAATTATCTTTGTTATTTTTTTTTTTATTATCTAATGTTGTTTTATCTTCCTGTAAACATATTTAGGTGATATACAAGAAATAAATATGTAAACATCTTTAATCAAACTTATTTTGAGTTTAGATACCTTTGTTATCAGCTCCCAGGTTAGGCATATATATAATAGGGTCAATGAGTGATCTAATTTATGTTGTTTGACACACTGAGCGAAGATGGTCGTGTCGTTAAAGATAATTTATATTGGCCTTGTACTTGGCCTTGTTGTAGCTTATACGCAAGCCGCTAGTATCAGCGACAATAGGTAAGTTCGTTCGTTAGTATTGTTATTGTTGGACATTTCAGCATGATTTGGTAAATCGAATTTCCACGAAAATCCTAGGGATTTTGTGAATACGCGGAGAATTAGACAATGGCGACGATATTTCTCAAACTTACTAAAAAGATAAGATTTTTGCGAAATCGCGAGTCGCCTCACTAACATTGTGAAAGGAATCGTTGTCGTATTATTAATATTCTTAAGTTCTTGAGTTCACACTGGTTATGTTAATATTGTACAGGTTCACGGCACGTAACTCTAGTGCTGAACAAAACGCGTCAGGGATAGCTGCGCATGGGTACGACTGGAGAACCAATCGGCGCAACGCATGCCACCCGCGCACCTCGTTTCCCCCCAAGATATCTTTGTTTTTACTTCTGTGTAATAACGGACAGCGCTAGAGTTTCGTGCCGCGACTTATAACCATGATGCGCAAGCCGAGCGAGTTAAACGCGGCAGCGGCCGGCGAAGCGCCAGAAAAAAAATAGCAGAAACATTGAGCAATGGCATCGCCATTAGTGTCGATTCTGGCATGAAATTATAATATCACCTAACTACAACCTACCCTCCTTCTTACAACCTGGGATCCTTTAAAAGAGGCGTGAAGAAGCAACATACAGGCCGGCAAGGTGAGGATGGCTGGTGTGGCAGGTAGAACTGCTTTACTACCTATCTTCACATCTGGACTTCACCATCACTTAACATCAGGTGGGGTGGAGCCATTTGTTGGACTTATCTAAAAAAAAACTGAAAACTAAATTTAACATCAGTCTCTCCTTTTCATTCTGTAGGATATAGAATGACAAGGATACACTTTTGTTAAATTTAAGTTTATGTTTAGAGAATTATGTCAGAATCGACACCATTATCCAACTCTCCGCATTTTTGTCTAGGCTTTCCCTAGGCCATGGAAATCCCTCCCCGGGGGCGTACCAGTGAAGTGGCGCACATTAAGGTGCGCCGTTCCTGAGACGCCCCCATATGGGCGTAGGAGGGTACGTGGTTTTTAGTGGATAGGACCGGCGTTGTTCCGCGCCGGGAGTCCCACACACGCCGCGCGCCCAGCCAGCGCGCGGTACGGTGCGTAAATGCATTTTCCATCGTCAACAAAAAAAAGGCCATGGAAATCACTAAGTTTTAGCGAAAATCGATTTATTTGTTTCTTAGGTTTGCACGCACATCGCTTATTAAATAAAACTAGTTTTTACGTCAGAATCCCGAAGTCACATTCCTGAAAAGGATGTGAAACGTCAATAAATAAATAAGTTCAGTAGGTACATGTAACCCGTTTTTTATTAATTAGTTTAAGATATGTATGTAATTACATATATTATTGTAAACAAGTTGTGATATATGAGAGAGCGAGGCATTCTAATACAGGTATATGTTTACCTAAAAGAGTGCTTCAATAACTTTTATGTTAATTTAATTTGGTTAAAGAATAAATATTTTTCATTTTTTCTTTTATTATTATTATACTAAATTTCTTATTACAGTCTTCCTACCTATGATACGATAGTAGTAGGTCTGGGTGCGTCTGGCACGGCCGCTGCTACTACACTAGCGCGCGCTGGGAGGAGAGTGTTGGGTCTGGAGGCTCAAGAGAGAATCGGTGGTCGAGTATATACTGTGCCCTTCGACGATGGCGTTGTGGAGGTGGGAGCTGAGTGGTAAGGACATTAATTATTAAGAATTAGAACTTTGCCACTCAAGAAACAATAATCAAATCCGTGAGCGCGTTTATGTTGTTCTCCGGTTGTTGTGTAGAGTCTGTGCGGAAAGAGAAGGCGAAAAGCGGAACTAACATTAAAAGCGCCTACTGACATCTGTAAAACGTCAATGTATTGATACGAATTTGTTTGTTGTTGTGATTTCTTGCGGTTTTTTTGTATTTAATCATGTCTAAAAGGGGTAAAACCTTACAAATACAGTAGAAGGCACTACAGCACCTTCCAATCTAAATCCCATTCTCTTTCCGCACCGACTCTAGCTGTGGACTATACTAAGTTAAAATGGGATTAATGTGGATAAACGACACATAGCACAAAATAAAATGTAATTCGTGTTCACAATATACATATATACGTTCGTACTTATGCAGTTATATGTGACAAGACAATAGCAACAATCTATAACAAATGAATAATGTCAGAAGGTGACGTAGAAAAGTATAAAGGATTTAAAAAATACATAATAATATCAAAAAAGTTTATTTTTAAGTTTAACGTATTAACAAACTTTAAATCAGAAATCAATATATCTTTATTCAAATTGGATGTATAGTACAACTCTTTTGAATCTTCCAAATTTTTCCCAACCACTCGTTATGGACATATTTTTTAACTGCGGAGAAAAACGAGCGAAAGAAAACTGAACAACATTAAAAGTCTAATGTAACAACATTTACAAATCATTATGTTGTTCCAACAACGGCAATACAGCTACACTTCAGGACTCAACAATGGCGCCATTAGGTGAGACAAAAATCGGTAGCCACATTGTAGGCAGTGGCGGGGCAAGACCTAAATTTGATGTGGGCAAGACAGATTTCGCGAGGCCCTGTTTTGTGGCGACCTGAAGACGAATTTTATAAAATAATAAAAAAAAGAAATTCGCTTTTAAGCAATGCATAAAAATTTTTGAGGCGTGAGGCCCCTTGTACCGCGAGGCCGTAAGTGGTGGCCCACGTCGCCCACGCCTTACGCCGCCTCTGATTGTAGGTTACGTCGCGAGTGATATTCTTGTATCTCAGGCGTCTTTGTACCTTTTTTTGTGACGCCGGCAAAACCTCTATTTACAAACGACGGCGCCTTTGAGAGGCACATCGCCGAACGGAGCTCACAGCTGGCTCCCGCAAGCTTTACGAGCCCCCGCAGTGGCTGCCCACTGAGGACCCAGTAACTCTTACGGGCGCTTTACGGCATAATATCCGCTAAAAACCCCTGCGAATACCCTCTAAGCTGCTTAGTGCGAAGCCGCGGGATCCCGGTTTAACGATTCACCCAGCAGCCTCCCGGCCTAGCCGGGGCTCCATGGCAGGGGTCTCCCGAGGTATTGCAGGAACCCCCCAGACGTGCTCTGTAAGCTACCTCAGCTTTATTTGCCACCATTTTCACTATAAACAATGGACTTCCAGGATACACGGCCAAATCGGCAGTCGTACCTACGAGTTGGCAGTGCAAAACAACGTGTCCATAATCGCAGACGAGACATCTGTGGGCGGGTATCGCTCAGACGGAACCCTATTGGATGACAATACGATGAACCTCATGAAAGAGCTGGTGGAAAAAGGGATGGAGATCGCCGCCGATTCACCAGAGCCACCCGAGCCTTTGGGACAGTACATTACCAGAAAGTAAGGATCCAGTTTTCATTGCAGGAAACCCAGTATTTTTGGTTTTTTTATGAGACTATTGAAAAAGATGTTTCATTGACGTACTGAGGCAAATAGTATTAGAAAATTCTATTAAGGTGACCTGTACCGTTAGCAAGAAGCATTATCGAATTCGAATAGTTTGCGAGCACGAAATGTCAATGTCAAATTTTGTATGGAAACTTGAACAGTAGAGCCACAAACTACGTAACGTGAACTAAAAATCAGTACACATTTGACAATGACATTTCGTACTCGCAAATGTTATGAATTCGATATTGGTTCGTGCTAAGGGTACAATTATCGTAGCAGTTGTTTTAAAACTTTTTTTAAATGCCTGCTTCCAAAGAAATTAACTAACGCACGTATTAAAATAAATTACAGAAATCACTAGATCAAAATCTACTCTGTGCGGCCTCAGACCAGAGTAGATTTTGATTGATTTCATGATGATCAGGAATTTTAACACCTCCGTAATCGTATCATCATCATCAGCCTATTAATGTCCCCACTGCTGGGGCACAGGCCTTCCCTATGGATGGAATAGGGAGATTGGGCCATGACCCACCACGCGGGCCCAGTGCGGATTGGTGGGTGCTAACGACTGCAGATGCAGCCGGGACCAACGGCTTAACGTGCCTTCCGAAGCACGGACGAACTCATGATAGTAAATTTTTGGTCACCCATCCAATGACCGACCTCTGCGAAAGTTGCTTAACTTCAACGACCGCAGCCGAACGCGCTAACCACTTGCGTCATCGAGCTCCTCCGTCATCGAGCTCTTCGTAATCGTATCGTCATCGTCAAATTTTGTATGCAAGGAGCACCAGTTTTTTCTCACGTCCGACAGAGTCGCTGCTTACTTTTCATAGAAACTTTGACGATGCGTACCATTTGACGAGCTGTCAAATTTCGTGCTTGAACCTCAGTTTTACCGTTTGCACGTGAACAAATACAAATACCATATTATTCGTCCAACCAGATTAATGCAATATATAGAGAAGAAGCACCCTGAACTCCTGAACGACAAGGAGTTCTTAGCCCAATTCTTTGAGTACATGGACCTCAACATTGATACTTACGAAGCCACCACCAGCTGGAATGACGTCAGCACCGCCAGCCAATCCGTGGAACTAGAAGGAAACCAAGCCATGAGCTGGCATAGAAACGGATACAAGACGCTCTTCGAAATACTGTTGGTGAGTCAAGAAATTCCATGACTTTTGCAAAATAGGTTTGGTATTTAAAGCATCAAACTGCTTCCATAAAAAAAACGGACGGGTTGCACTCCGGGAGTGCCGGCAGAAGGGAAAACTTGAATATTAACGTTGTGCATTTTTGGTATTTTGGAATGGTTAGGGAATAATTTTGCTTTAATTATCAGTAAAAAAGTACTATTATGTATGTGGTAGAATACAATATTTATTTATTGCGCTATCGTACACAAACATGACAATTTATATTACATTAAAAAAGTGTATCTCTCAGAAAAATCAACTTACATGAATCACACCTAGCGACATCTATAGTAAAAAATGCATTTTCTTCGCAATAAAGCTGCCACGTGGACGTCCTAGATAGAGTCTTATTATTATAATACGATAAAATAAAATATTACTAAGTTTCGTCCAATATATTCAAAGTCAACAACCTTTCTAATTTTATTGTGTGTCATGATGCGATCAGCCCACGTGTTTAACCTCACGCGAGTCTATCCCGTACAAAAAAAGTGTACAACGCCGTTAAAGAAGTTTTCACTTCAAAAATACTAGATAAAATCCAGTCGGAGCAGGTATCATAGAAGAGGAATACAGGATCTTTGCCAAAGTAGTATTCTAACTTTATCTCCAGTGTAGTTTAGTTTTGTGAAGTATTGTTAAAGTATGATGAGGTCTGCACCGTTAGCATGAGCACCAAAATGTGATATGATAAATAATAATAATATTCTTTATTGACATACACCTCATAGGACATACAACACATTGAACATGACAGTGAAAACGTTCACAATAGGCGGCCTTATTTCTAAACAGCAATCTCATAAAGTGCTTTATCAATACTGAACGTCGATATACAATAGAATTTGACAGTTGAGTGTCGATAAAAAGCGTTATCATATTGCGTTTTAGTGCTCAAACTACCCCCTAGTTTAGTTACAGGGGCATATTGAACCCAGAGCCAAAGTGAGGTTGGCATGTTCAATTGTTCGATAATAATAAAAGCCTCCAAATAAATCAGTGTAATCAAGTGAAAGTTGTCTTTCAATGAGCTTGATGGCGCGCGAGTTAGCGTGTTCGGTTTGCGATCGTGAAAGTTCAGGAGCTCTATTTTTGAATCACTCGTCTGACATAGTATCGTCGAATGCGACATAAGTCACCTTCGACTTTCAAGTCGCATAATACTGATTTTCCGTATTTTTGAATCACTCGTCACCAGTGTTACCTGTTTGATACGAAATACGAAATTTTACTCATTTCACGCAGAAATAATAAAAACCGGTAATTACTACTACTCTTTGTCGTTTCATATAAATAGTCCAGTCAGTATTGTCGCGAAATCCGTTTTTCCTCAAACAGCTGGAACTATGCTAAAAAGTTTCTTAAGATAGTAAAGAACACTTTACATAGAGAAAAAAATGTTTCCAACCCCGGGCAAGGGTGAAAACCACCCTTAATAATCTATTTTTCCAATTATCTCAAAAAGTATACGAGATACGGAAAAAAACTTCAAATGAAAATTGTAGATCTTTTTGAAATCTACAAAACATTATTCCACCCTCTTGCCCCTATTTTCAATAGGGGAGCCAATAATCGAAGTCAAAGATTCAATACTTAAAAAGTTAAAGTTAGTTAAAAAAGTTATCTAAAGTTATCTAAGTTATCTTAATGTAATGTAATGTAATAATCTTTACATTAAGATAACTTAGATAACTTTAGATAACTTTTTTAACTAACTTTAACTTTTTAAGTATTGAATCTTTGACTTCGATTATTGGCTCCCCTATTGAAAATAGGGGCAAGAGGGTGGAATAATGTTTTGTAGATTTCAAAAAGATCTACAATTTTCATTTGAAGTTTTTTTCCGTATCTCGTATACTTTTTGAGATAATTGGAAAAATAGATTATTAAGGGTGGTTTTCACCCTTGCCCGGGGTTGGAAACATTTTTTTCTCTATGTAAAGTGTTCTTTACTATCTTAAGAAACTTTTTAGCATAGTTCCAGCTGTTTGAGGAAAAACGGATTTCGCGACAATACTGACTGGACTAAAAGCATGACAATGATAGACTATCGTCGTCTAATAGCACAAAAGAATTGACAATTATTCTATCATTCGCCTCCACCATTCGCCATGCAGCGAGTGGTTTCACCCATTCGTTGCACTCGAGCGATTCAAAAATACGGAATTAATTATGTCGAATGAAATTTAGTAGAAATCGAGCGTTCGACGCAAGACGAGTGATTCAAAAATAGAGCTCCTGTAGCTTTTGCAATGACTGGTCATAAAATGAGGTACCAAAAATGTTTTATCTGAAGCTCATCCGTTTCTCAGAAGCCACGTTTAGCCTTTATTACGTAACTAGTGGCTAAAATGACTCTTCATAATAATAATAAAAAAAACTGAAAATCGTATCAAATATAATCAGAATGCTCCAATCTGCTAAGCTATCAGGAGTTACACGTGTTATTGTGAGTCAACCATAAAAGATAGACATATGCTCATGCGGGATATTTTTTAGACAATTTTATGTAGAATATTTCCGTCATACATGATTTCTATGTAACTTTAACCATTAAGGCTGCACACGCGACGGAAGCTTAAAAAATGGAGTAACTTCTCCCGTTTCCCAACATTTACCTTCACTGCTCTGCTACTATTGATTGTAGCATGATGAATACTATAACCTGCCCAGGAGTATGAAGAATAATTGTACCAAGTTTCGTTAAAATCCGTCGAATAGTTTTTGTTTCTATAAGGAACATACATACAGACAGACAAAAATTTTACTGATTGCATTTTTGGCATCAGTATCCATCACTAATCACCCCCTGATAGTTATTTTGAAAATATATTTCATGTACAGAATTGACCTCTCTACAGATTTATTATAAGTATAGATCTATATCTATACTTATAATAAATCCGTACCCTATGGTACGGCCAGAGTGCACTCAGATTCAGACTCAGAAAACAAGCGCGAGAAATAAACAGTGTAGTTAAAGTTAAAGCAGGGTAGCCATAGTGGCAGCAGGCAACCTGCTTAAACTATACTGTATATTTCTCGCGCTTGTTTTCTGAGTTGAATCTGAATCTGAGTGCACTCTGGCCGTACCCATAGTCCCGTTTGCAGTCGTTATCACCTATCAATCTCTCATATTATGCTTACCATTAGTAATTATTATAGTCATCATCATCAGCCTATAAATGTGCCCACTGCTGGGGCACAGGCCTTCCCTATGGTGGAATAGGGATATTGGGCCGTGAACCACCACGCGGCGCGGGCCCAGTGTGGATTGGCGGGTGCTAACGACTGCAGATACAGCCGGGACCAACGGCTTCACGTGCCTTCCGAAGCACGGAGGAACTCGAGATAGAAGATTTTTGGTCACCCATCCAATGACCGACCACTGCGAAAGTTGCTTAACTTCAATGATCTTCAATGATCGCAACCGAACGCGCTAACCATCCGCGCCATCGAGCTCCTCTATTATTAGAGTATCATTATCTTAATTTTGACAACTTTTCTCTCTTCACGAAATGCTCGGGACAGCCCACGCTGAATATGTAAGTGTCGCCGCACACGGGCCACCGATCACAACCACAAAACGCCGCCACTGTGCACCGGCATATTTCTTGTAGTTTTCATACATTTAATATGGATTCGCCTCACACGGTACGCCGGTGGCCGCCACACGTTACAAATCGTCGTTGCTCGCTTCTTGTGGCCCGCACCGGCCATTTCATGCGCCGATACAAAACGCCGCCACACGTCACTCGCGCGATTCCCCACCCCTCTCTCCCTTACCTTAGTCGGCCGCTGTCGCGCGCTTCAGCCGCTTTAGTAGCCGCTTCTAGCTTCTCGTGGCGGCGTTTGTGGCTGTGGCGTGTAGCCCGTGTGCGGCGACACTAAATGATATTGATGTTTCTTTCACAGAACACGTACAGAAACGGATCAGGTTTGCCGACATTACAATACAAGCTGAACACTGAGGTGACGAAGATAACTTTGTCTGAGGCCCCGAATAAGGTCTTTGTCACTTGTAAAGATGGCAGCACTTATGCAGCTGACAACGTGATAGTCACACCTTCAGTAGCTGTTCTGAAGGAAAGGTTGGTTAAAATCGTGTCCGTGATGCTAGCGTACACATGATCAATATACTGATTTTCGTTATGCCATTAAATACTGCATAAATAGTGCCAAATTAGTTTAAAATTAAAAAAATAGTGCATCTTTAATTTAAGAAATAAAGACCATTACTGTGTACGCTAGCATGACGTCAAGCTAGCGTACCCATGGCCGTCCCTAAGAACGGCATATACTAGTATTTAAGCAACGAAATTGACACACAAAAATAGTTCGCAAATAGTGCCCTGGCTTTACAAAATTTCATAATCAATACTCTTAGGGCCAAATATATTGAACTAAATATTCTTAGCTGGCGTCAACCTGGCGCACCCATAATAGTTCTCATAGAAAATGAGCTTTTCTCGTTATCAATGCTATATGTATAAATAGTGTGTCAAATAGTGCCTCTTAACAGTAAAAGTATTTTATGTGAATTCGCAGAATAACAATATAAAAAAAGCAATTAAATTATTTTCATATATGAAGTACAGTCATGTACAGATGTGATAATATTTTCGTAGTATAGTAGGTAAAACCAAGGCAAGTGATTGTCTGTGGTTTAAGGGCTCTATACTTAAAAGTTGACGCACGAACCCCATTAATATGCCTTCGCTGTGTATGTCGGTGTCAGAGCTCTATCTCCTAAACTGAAGCACTTAGCACAATACATACTCTTGTATGTATTAACAGTATGCCATGTTTATAGTTGATTTTAAGATATATTCATTGTGATATTTATCAAATCAATTAATATAATATGTGATGCATACCTAATGTTCAACAATTCAGTTAAATTTAATAATGAAGCGCCCCACGCTTTTTCAGTTATATAATCAACCATAAACCTATATACATATTTCTTTTACTAGCTATAAGAAAAAGAGAGAAAGAGAATGTGCTCGCGCGCTGCTTTCTCTTGCTTATACCCCCCACTGAACTCCCGTTTGCCTCGACCGAACACACTTTTCATATTGCGTAACGCATTCGTCAGCTTACCTCCCAAGTCAAGCGTGCGTAAAGAAGTTTCACTACAAAAACAGATATTAAACAGCGACGTGGTGTTAAATTCTGAACGCGGTTGGGCCCCGTGCGATGCTGCGCGTGCATCGTAAGAAAGTATCCGCCGCCACTGTCGTTCGAGTCGAGAGAGTCGCCAGGATCCCACGAAACCCGTTCCGGCAGGCGCGGAAGCACTGTTGGGTTTTTATTGGGTCCCCTCATCCCGAGCAGCTGCTGAGGGGCCGTTCAAGTATTACGTAAGCACTATAGGGGGGCAGGGAGGTCTTTGCTTTGCTTATTTTTGATGACATGGGGGGTGGGGGGTCGAAATAGTGATTACGTCAGCATCATAGATTCGGGTGTCATGGACTGAAGACTGTTAATTGGAATTAATATGTATACCAAAAATTCGAAAGAAGTTTGTTTTGTTCGTAATAGTACTTAATGAGATTATAATATTTGTACTATCGCGGAATTTTGCGCTCTGTCACTTGGCGAACAAAATGCTTTGAACGGTTTTCTACAGTAGTTTTTACTACGCCCCGCCTTCGCGTCGGACGCGCCAATCCGGGCCGCCGCACAAAAGTAAGACAGAGAGCATTTCATTGATTGAATAATGAATTGAATTGCATATGTTTTAGTTGCAATTTGTCATTCGCATCGTGATTGCGACAGCGCTCGCGCTATACGAAAAAGTAAGACAGCGATAATTACATGTCTATGAATGAATTTTTACTACGCCGCTACCGCAAGCGATTATGGCATTATGGGTGACAGAGCGGGTCTTTCCGCGAGTGTACCTTACTCTATGTTGAATTCTGTGTCAATAAAGTTTGTTTATATGAATATTATGTGCGTACTGCTGCTCATAGCGTTGCCAGGCGTCCGGATAAAGCCGAAAATAGTTAGGTTTTTTGATTGCGTGTCCGGCTTTTAATATTTCGCAAACGAGCGAGCGCCGGCGTGGCCGAGCGCAAGCGAGTTGACATGTCGGTCACTTATCTAATATAGGGCTGCCATCTCTAAAATGTGGCAACCAGGATAAGACGCGTGATAACCCCGGATTTTGAAGCCCAGAACCCGGACAGACCAATAAAAAAACAGTTAAAAATGTCACAAATCAACTTTTTTATGTTGATCTAGGCCAGAGTTCCCCAAACTTTTTTGTGTCGTAGACCCCTTGCAGGTTGTCATAGACCCCTAGGGGTCGATATAGACCACTTTGGGAATCACTGATCTAAGCAAAAGAGCTAGCGGTCTACCTCATAATAAGTGGTCACTGCTGCCCATGGACTCTTGCAGCACCAAGGGCCACTCATGCGTTGCCGTAAAGTTTTGAACCCGGACTACAAATAAAACCCCGCCCGGACGCTCCCCGGACGCCCCGTAAACTAGGACACATCCGGGGAAACCCGGACGGATGGCAGCCCTAATCTAATATTACTGAGCTACCAAGTTCTCAATAATGAAGGATGTCCTTCCTGCCTTTTTACCCAAATGTCCGGGTAAACTGGGTGGTCTGTGTGCCTATTAGGTTTGGCGACCTGACAACCCTAGCTGCTCATGAAGCGCATGAATCAATAAAAAAGGAAATACATTAGAATCCGTTTATTATGACTCCGCCTATATTGACCAACCGCCTATTATGACGTAATTACACAACGAAGTTTGGTTTTCATATAAAATTCATTGTAACAATGTCGGATATAATGACTTCGCTTACAGTGACATGTCGCTTATTATGACCCATTTTTAATCAATTTTGTCCGTTTATAGTGACCGACATGGTACTTTACACCTACGGTAATGTTCGTTGATTCAAATTGAACATCAAGCATTGTTTTCGGTGATATCCTATGTAAAAAAATGTCATCTCAACGTCGTAAAGCATTTACGACTGAGGAAAAAGGTGTAATAATATGCTGATTAGAAAATGGAGAATCAAACTCATCTCACAATCTTTTTTCACAAAAATGCTTTGTATGACGTCCGCTTAGTATGACGTGTTTGTCGATAAACGGATTGTACCGTATGCATATAGGAGGGGTAAATAATTGTAATAAATCTGCTTACGTAATACTTGAACGGACCCTGAGCTAGTTTGGCTGAGTAGGTGGGCGGGATTTGGGGGGAGCAGGAGTTCCACATAACCCCGTCTCTCATCCAGGGGCGGGGTATGCGTCACGCATTTTCCTAACAATAAAATAATGGTCCCTCCTCCCGCACATCTCCTCCCGTGCAAGGGCGGATCCAGCTTTGGCGCCAGGGGGGGTCATATAGCCAGCTTTGGCGCCAGGGGGGGGTCATATAGTCGTGGTTTATTAAATATTGAAAGTACTTAAATAAAATCCCCCTGGGTTTGGTCCATCTGTACCCAGCCCAGGGGGGGGGGGGGGGTCATGACCCCCATGACACCCCCTGCATCCGCCCTTGCTCCCGTGCGTATGACTGGTCGGCGACTGGTAGTGTTAATTATTACACTGTGGTCTTCTGAAGGTGAAGTTTACTTCTGAAGACATAAGGCTTTCCAATGAGGGTGCTTAGGAAAATTCACAACACTAGTTGGCGCCACTGTGCCGTAAGGTCTTTTGTATGAAGTTTTTGGCGCGAACTAATCGAACGAGAATTTAAATTTATTCATAGACTATGACAACATATTCGATTTGACGGATGAGTAGACCTTTCGCCTCAGTGCTGCCACCTGGCGCTCGTCATTTCAGAAAACCCTCATTCGAGCGGAAAATCCGCTATAGATAAGTAATCTAAAGCGGCTATTAAGCCTCCTTTGATTCATTATTATATCAACCTACTAATGTCCCCACTGGCCGACAGGCCGTCCCTATGGATAGAATAGGGAGACTGGACTGTGAACCACCACGTGGGCTTAACGTGCCTTCCGGAGTACGGAGGAGCTCGACGTTTTTGGTCAACCATCCAATGACCGACAATTGCGAAAGTTGCTGAAATCACGATCGCAGGCAAAATGGCCACCTGTGCAATGGAACTTCTCTCCTGGTTTGATTCGGTTTGTGAAATCATATTGACGACCTCCGCGGCCTAGTGGTGTGTACGCCGGGTTTCATGGTGTTGCAGACTCGAGAGGTCCCGGGTTCGAATCCCGGTGGGGGCAGATGTTTGTGTGATGAATACGAGTATTTGTACTCCCGTCATGGATGTTATTAAGTATTTTTTATATAAATATACTTAGATATGTACAGTAGGTATATGTATTCTATCCGTTACCCTAGCATCCCATAGCACAAGCCTTATTCTGCTTACTCTTGGCTAGGCTAATTGGTGTGAGTGTTGGAAATATTTATTTATTTATATTTGTTTTCCCACAGACACGCAACCCTGTTTTCGCTGCCGCTACCAAAAGACAAGGTGGACGCTATCAACAACATCAAAATGGGAGTCGAAAGCAAGATTATGTTCCGATACCCGAACAGGTGGTGGGGCGATAACGGTTTCTTTGCATTCTTGTGGAGAACAGAGGATAAGAGCGGGACAGAAGATGTGTGGGTGAAGAAAATCCCTGCAGTCAGCACTCCTATGGGAGCCAGTAATGTGCTCACATTGTGGCTCACCGGGGATTATGCGGTTATGGTCAGTATATATGCCATGGCCGTACTCAAAGATGTAAAATAAATATGATGTCTTAAGAAAACTACTTCAGTTAGAGAAATTTCGACACGGCCGTCAGGGCCGCGGTAGCATAATGGTCAGTGCATTCGCCCGGATAAGCGTATTAAGCGAAGGGTGCGAGTTTGAGCCCCGTCTGCTGCCTGGTCCGCTTGGATTTTTTTCTAGAAAACTTTTCTTTATTTTGAAACATCTAGCAATTAAATGCTATGATGTCATTTAACGACCTATTAGACGACCTCAGTGGCCGAGTGGTTTGTACATGTCGTGGCCATATCGTAGATTTGCTCACTTCATGAAATGCTCGTGCATTTCATGAAATGGTCACATTTCATGATGTGGCCAACTTAATTTGACCAGATCATTAAATCGTCAACATTTAACGATTTGGTCATCCACATTTGGCCGGATCGTATAATTAGGGTGTCCATAAAATATTTATTAAAAATCCAGAATATGTAAGAACTTGTTTATTGTTATTTAAGTCCGATTGACACAAACAATTTTAATCAAATTTTTGTAACAAAATAAACAAATTAAAGATTTTTTTTCCTAAATTAAACATCAAACATGTCAAGAACTTACACATTTATATTTAGAAAACTATCAAATATTTAGAAATAATAAGGTACTTTGATACATATTACAATAGTAGACTTAACTGTTTTTCCAGGGCCCAAACGGTAATACTTCACACTAGGTTAGGTTAGTGTTATGACCATGACGCGCGAGCCGAGCGAGCAAAACGAGCGTGCCGCGGCAGCGGCCGGCGAAGCGCCAGAAAAAAAACTCTATTAAAAGAGACCTTTTCTACAAAAAAAATTCAAGTATCACCTCTTGGGCCCTGGAAGTACAGTTTTACAGTATATTTTTGTACGGCATTGATTCTCATCCGCACTTTGTACCTTAACCGCAGTTTCCAAAATGTCATATTTTGACAGCCAGTAATAGTCCATAGATTTCTTTTGCGTAGTCACCCTACTCTCCTTAATTTGTTTCGTCGAAAACCCTTTTGTTAACTTTCTTCCTCATTAAATAACGAATTATGCACTTTTTCAATGCGAGAAACAACATTGTCGGCACCGGCCGCCCAAGGCCGGATTCAGAGGGTGGGTCATGGGGGTCATGATCCCCCCCCCCCCTGGGCTGCGTCCATCTGTACCCACTTCACAATCTGTACCCACTGTGACTTGACCACGACTATATGACCCCCCCCTGGCGCCAAAGCTGGATCCGCCCTTGGCCGCCATATAAATATATAAACAAAGCGCTTGCAGCGCCTCTACCGGTAATTAATGTAACTACTTTACAATATGTTCAAAAAATTTTTGTCATTTCATGAAGTAGCCACGCGTTTAGTTGGCCATATCGTGAAACGATTTCTCATCATTGATCTGCCCAAACCACATCATGATGTGGCCAATAGATAGTGAAACATTTCATGAAATTCTCGAGCATTTCATGAAGTGATCAAATCTACGATATGGCCACGACATACATATAAATTGAAATTTTCAAAGGGAACGGCATACGAAATAAGTTTGAGAGGAAAACCTGTGATATACAGCGATTTTTTTCAGGCAGAGAATCTTCCGGATGATGAAGTCAGAGCGAAAGGGATGGCTCTGTTGAGAAGATTTCTGGGCGCAAACATTACTATACCCGAACCGGTAGAGATGTTAAGGTATGTCTGTCTGTTATTATATTTAGTTATACATATAGTTTTTTTGTTTAAATGTTGGCGAACACAAATGGCACTTCTGACGGTAAGGCTCTATAGATAATGAAAAGGAGATAGTGATGTCGATTCTGGCATGATTCTCTAAAGCTAAACTTAAAATTGACAACAGTGCATCCTTGTCATTCTCTATACAGAATGAAAAGGAGAGACTGATGTTAAATTTAGTTTTAAGTTTAGAGAATGACGCTAGAATCGACACCACTATTTTCAATTTTAAGTTGAGAGAATCGTGCCAGTATTAGATGCATTGCCAACCTAACTAAAGCAGTATGAGTAACATAGCCAAAGGAAATGTAACCGATTTTTTTTTAAAGTGTTGGAAACAACGACAAACTGAAAGCTTGATAATTAAGTAATTGTAACTTTGCATGTACTCATCATTTGTAATAAACATGTACGAATTGCTATTAGCATATGTATTGTTTGTATGTACTTATTTAACACTGCACTGGCTGTATTTTATGTAACCATTTCAAGCTATTGGAGAGAACTCTCCCATAGCTTGGGAGAATGGCTTTTCACTGGCACAAGTGTCTTCACACTTAAAAAACGGGAATCCAGAGGTTGGATTCCCCTTTTTTTAGTGTAGTGTATATAAAATACAGCCAGAGCATCCACTGCACTGGCTATATTTTATATAACCACTTCAAGCTATGGCAGAATTGCTTTCCCTAGCACAAGTCTTCATACTTAATTGTTGGGGAATGTAACCTCTGTTATTGTAACACGCTTTTTGTTTCTAATAAACATTTTTGATTCTTAGGTTTCCAACACCACTCACTAAATAAAGCAAGTTTCAATGGTATAGATGCACTTATTTATTTATTAATTTAAGGTTTGCATCCTTTTCAGGATGCGTCTGCCATCATAATTCAGACGACCCATCCTGAAAAGGATACGAAACGTCAATAAATAAATAAATCAGTGCATACCGTTGAAACTTGTTTTATTTAATAAACATTTTTTTTTCTTTTTTAAACAGTCACGTGAACGTGACCATTGGGTACTCTTAGCACGAACCAATATGAAGTTCGTATCGTTTACGAGTCTGAAATGTCATTGTCAAATGTGTAATGATTTTTAGTTCTCGTAACGTAAGTACTTTGTGGCGCTGCTTTTCAAGTTTCGATACAAAATTTGACATTGACATTTAGCACTCGCAAACTATTCGAATTCGATAACGGTTCATGCTAGAGGTAGGTACTGTATGCTTAGATTAAAACAAAAAGGGTAGATACGGTACGCTCATACTTGCATCAAACAAAAACTGATCCCACGGCAGCGCGAACGGGACGACGAGATTGTAAAAGCAGTGAGAGCTGGCAGTGGTGAAGGACAACGTCAAAATCCACAAAGGCATAAAAGCAATTCGTTCTGGAGCAGGTGGTGGCGGCGGCGACAATTGAAACGCAGACACTTTTCAAAGAATACAATTCTCAAATACAAATATTACACTTTGCAAGGAATATAAATCGGTAAAATTTAACACTATACGATGCAAATTAAACAATATTAACATGGATAGCAAGCGATCTAAATGCAACAGCAAAATCCCTACATGACGACATTTTTCCAAGAGAACGATTAGGGCAGAGTCAATACATCTATATAAAAAGTAGTCTATGGCTACACAACATAAACCATGGACTTAATGCTAATGCAAGAGAGCATATACATGTTCAACAGAGATCCGCGTCACTGCATTACCGACCCGAACGAAACAGCACGTTAAGTTTCAACGGCAGCGCGAACGAGACGGCGAGATCCGCGTCACTGCACTACCGACCAATCACGCGACCAGTACTCGACGTCACTACCGAATAAGATTCAAAACAAACAGCAATTTTTATGAAAAAATATATTTTATAGTACTTACGAATGAAAAGTGATGCTGTGGGTGTTATTTTTAGGTATTGAGCAATTTGAGCACTTTTTAAAAACACACTTATGCATTCTTTTATCATATAAACACAAAATAATAGCAATATTTCTTTTTGGCGTTCACATGTACGTCGTTTACATGTCAAGTTGTGACTAAAGCGATTACGGTCGTGGATCACAATTCATGCGGATCACTTTTGTGAGGCTAGTACCGTACCTACCCTTTTTGTTTTAATCTAAGACTGTATGACGGTAAGCGGTCACCATAGCTGTTTTAAGTAAAAAGCGTGGCATACAAGGATATGGATGGCCCGCCTGATGGTGAGCGGTTGCCATATCCTATAGAAGCTATATCACTCGCGCCGTTCTCTATCCTAACCTAATCGCTTACCCCTAGGCTTGGAGCCCTGAACGCCTCCGTTTCCTCCCACACAGGCCACAAACACTAACACTACACAGCTAGCAAACTTCCCCACTAGCTAAGAATTAGGCAGACACTGGTGTCGATTCTGGCGTGATTCTCTAAACTTAAAACTAAATTTAACATCAGTCTCTCCTTTTCATTCTGTATAGAGAATGACAAGGATACACTGTTGTCAAATTTAAGTTTAGATTTAGAGAAACATGCCAGAATCGACATCACTGCACCCGTAGGAGAGTGCGAAGACCACAATTTATAACTGCTGTACTAGCGTTTGGACTTTATCACCACTAAACATCAGGTGGTGTAGAGTCATTTGCCTATCTGACTATATGCAGAAAAAGTGTTGCTAGCAATGTTCCTTAGGGGGCGTCCATAAATTACGTCAGATGTTTAAGGGGGGAGGGGGTCGAGTCAAATCTCATGTAATCTTACGTTGGAGAGAGGGGGGGTCTCGGCAAATATCACGCAATTTTTTTTCTGATTGATATGTACATGCTTAAGATTTAATCTGAAGCGTTATAGTTATACGATTAAGATCATTCACTAATTCGTTCGAAAGAAATTGATTACTAGTCTTCACTAGTCGTAAACAAAAGCACGAAGCAATTTTTTTTTTCTTTTTACAATAACAATCCAACGTTTGCGTAAGAAACCCACATTTTGAAAAATCTCACGACATCTCACCAGGGGTGGAGGGAGGGACAGAAAATTCAAAAAAACACCTCACGTAATTTATGGACGCCCCCTTAGGTCTAGAGTCTAGTGTCCAATGATCGCAAGCGGAACGCGCCAACCACTCGCTTTGTTTGGTCTTGCCACTAATTTCATTTACTTCCAGATCGTTATGGCACAAGAACCCTCACGTTCTAGGCAGCTTCACGTACGATGATGTGGACTACCCCCACCACGTCACCGCGCGCGCCGATCTCGCTCGACCAATCACAGACGAGAAAGGTGTCCCGAGAATCTTATTCGCTGGTGAAGCGACGCACACGCAGCAGTTTTCGACGGTGCACGGAGCAGTCGACACGGGGTATAGGGAAGCGAACAGACTGCTAGGAAATACAGTTTGAGTTCCGAATAGAGCGTTTCATTTGTTTAAGTTACAACTTTTTTAGGTTAAATTAAAACAAGGAACCCAGCAAAGATTTGCGAGACAGAAAGGAATTTGGCCTTACGATTTTGTTGTCTTCGATAGCTTTTAGAGCAGCGCCGGTCTGCTGTATTTACATAAGTTTCCCGGATATTTGACGACCTCCGTGGTCGAGTGGTTTGTACGCCGGGTTTCATGGTGTCGCCGCCCGACTCGAGAGGTCCCGGGTTCGAATCTCGGTGGGGGCAGATGTTTGTGTGATGAATACGAGCATTTGTACTCCAGTCATGGATGTTTAATATGTATTTCTATATAAATATACTTATATATGTACAGTATATGTATTCTATCCGTTACCCTAGTATCCAATAACACGAGCCTTATAGTGCTTACTTTGGGGCTAGGCTAATTGGTGAGTGTGTTGTAAATATTTATTTATTTATTTATATTGTGGGAATGTGATCTTGATTTAGTCCTCACTGTCCTTCACGTAATCTGGTGATTTAGCCGATTTTCCTTTGAAAGGTAAGGTAAAAGAAAGGTAGAAACTAGGTAATTTGGATCGGGGCTTTTCCGATGTCGACCGATCGCTATGGCGTCGTAGTCAGGGCCGGATTTAGAAGTGTTGGGGCCCTGGGGCTACAAAGGAGTGGAGGCCCCTAAATCAAGGCCCGAGCTCTTACGTTTAGCAACCCCAAAGGGTTTGGTGACCTCTGTTGTGGGGGCCCCTGGGCCACAGCCCCACCTGCTCTGTCTTAAATCCGGCGCTGGGTAAAGGTAAAAGAACAAAAAAAAATCAAAGGGTAAGATGTTTACTAGTGTTTACTAGTTGGAAATTGAAAGATTTTTTTCCGAAGTCTCTATTGTGGGGCCCCCCGTTTGTGGAGGCCCCGGGGCTTTCGCCCCGGTTGCCCTCCCCTAAATCCGGCAGTGGTAGTTGTAACAGTCAACTGACAGATACTGCCTGTCTACCCTCGTATTACAAAAAAAATCGTCCAAGGGATAGGAAAAGGTGGGTAAAAGGATGTTATGTTGCGTTATCATATCTAACGCATTCAATATATGTGAAACCGAACAAAAGATTTAACATAGAACTGTTATGATGACACCAGGCCCCGTAGCATGAGCACCACATTTTTTTTTGTTTCTGTGGCTTTCTCTGTTTTACACAGAAATTTCGCCAATGTCCAGTAGTGAGAGAGACACGAGAAAGACTGCTCGGTAGGAACAGATTAAGGTGATATAAATTAAATAACCGATTATACGTTCTTCCTTGAGTATTTCACTTTTCTGAAAGCACACACACACATGCAAAGACGTCACAGGTTAAACAATATTAATTTATATGACATGGGTAGAGCAGACAATTATGTCATCATCATCATCATCAGCCTATTAATGTCCCCACTGCTGGGGCACAGGCCTTCCCTGTTGATGGAATAGGGAGATTGGGCCATGACCCACCACGCGGACCCAGTGCGGATTGGTGGGTACTAACGACTGCAGATGCAGCCGGGACCAACGGCTTAACGTGCCTTCCGAAGCACGGAGGAGCTCGAGATAGTAAATTTTTGGTCACCAATCCAATGACCGACCACTGCGACAGCTACTTAACTTCAACGATCGCAGCCGAACGCGCTAACCACTTGCGCCATCGAGCTCGTCAATTATGTATTTCCAAATAAAAATAGAAAGGTTATTAAAAGTTAATATTGTAATCTATACTTATAATAAATCTGTAGAGAGGTCAATTCTGTACATGAAATATATTTTCAAAATAACTATCAGGGGGTGATTAGTGGTCGATACTGATGCCAAAAATGCAATCAGTAAAATTTTTGCCCGTCTGTCTGTCTGTGTGTATGTTCCTTAAAGAAACAAAAACTACTCGACGGATGTTAACGTAACTTGGTACAATTATTCTTCATACTCCTGGGCAGGTTATAGTATACTTTTCATCACGCTACAATCAATAGCAGCAGAGTAGTGAAGGGAAATGTTGGGAAAACGGGAGAAGTTACTCCATTTTTTAAGCTTCCGTCGCGTGTGCAGTCTTAATGGTTAAAGTTACATAGAAATCATGTATGACGGAAATATTCTACATAAAATTGTCTAAAAAATATCCCGCAACAGCATATGTCTATCTTTTATGGTTGACTCACAATAACATGTGTAATTATATAAATAAAGTCATTGTTTATAGCACAAGCCTGAGAACAAAAACTATAGTTTACACTACAGCTCTACACCGAAGCGAAGCGAGGGCGGGCCACTAGTTTTTTATAAATTTACATAAACACAAAAAGCCAGGTTTGTTGGTTAATGTTAGAATTGTATTAATGTTAACGGGGCGTACAGTTTTGGGTGGAACTAGAGAATATAGAGATGGGTGTTTTTGACAGTTGAAAAAAATGTGGTCTACAGTGCCTTCCTTGAGTCCACACTCACAAATGGAGCTGTCTAGTATTCGTAATTTGGAAAGAAAGACTGGCGAGGTAACGTGGCCGAGACTAAGACGCACCACAATTTACATTAAGTTTATCACTTTTTTTTTAAACACTTATTTATTTATTACATTTTAATAATAATAATAATAAGTGTTTATTTCAGGCACAGTAACCCATATTAAAAATTACAATAACAATTGCATTTTGTCCAATTTTGTCTTAAAATTAAATCATTGTATCACAATTCGTCAATTATTCAAATTAAATTCAGACAATAACAATAATATTAATAAAAATAAATAAAATATAATAAAAAACTATATGACATAGTTTTACATATTAGATTAAATGAAATAAATTAAATTAATTAATTAACATACATTGATAACATATAACATACATAAGTTGATGAATATAACATAATTTAGTAAGAGCTTTGACGACCTCCGTGGCCGAGTGGTTTGTACGCTGGGTTTCATGGCTGTCGCCGACTCGAGAGGTCCCGGGTTCGAATCCCGGTGGGGGCAGATGTTTGTGTGATGAATACGAGCATTTGTACTCCAGTCATGGATGTGTTTAATATGTATTTATATAAATATACTTATATATGTACAGTATATGAATTCTATCCGTTACCCTAGCATCCCATAACACAAGCCTTATAGTGCTTACTTTGGGGCTAGGCTAATTGATGTGAGTGTCGGAAATATTTATTATTATTATTATTTATAATTGTGATGTAGAGGATTCGATAGATGGTAGAGTAGCCCTATCAAAATCCGAGGCCGCGTCGATGTTGATGTTGATGCAGCCAGGGAGGTCGAATGGGTGGGAAAGACAGGGAGAGGAGAGGACGGTTAAATAATAGTGAGAGGCGAAAGGAAGAGGAGAGGAAACGAAACAGAAAATAAATAAAAGGTTTAAAGGGTGGGAGTAAGAGTGTAAGGGAATAGGTTTAACAATATTGCATTGCATACAGCCATTGAGGAAATATATTCAATATTAAGTGTCTCACATTTGATCGCGCCTAACTCTCAAACTCCTTTAGTAATTTGACAATTGAGCGTGATAAAAACGTGTTGTATGTCACATCGTGGTGCTGATGCAGGATTCTTTTGATTTTAAAAATACTGACTTTGTTTCGGATGCCGGGATGGTATAGTTGGTTAGATCACATGAGTAGTAAATATAAAGAGTACATGCTGCTACACCCGGATGTTGACGCTGTAATCAAAATCTATATTTTTTCTATTTTTATCTGACACGACGAATAGACGAGTGATGTATGCTTAAAAATAAAAACATTCCCGGTAATCATCAGCCTATTAATGTCCCCACCGATGGGGCACAGGCCTTCCTTATGCATGTAATAGGGAGATTGGGCCATGAGCCACCACGCGGGCCCAGTGCGGATTGGCGGGTGCTAACGATTGCAGATGTAGCCGGGACCAACGTCTTATCGTGCCTTCCGAAGCATGGAGGAACTCGAGATAGAAGATTTTTGGTCACCCATTCAATGACCGACCACTGAGAAAGTTGCTTAACTTCAACGATCGCAGCCGAACGCGCTTACCACCAGCGCCATACAGCTCCTCTCTGTCTTCCCGGTAAACAACCGGTAAATTTTCAGTTCCAATATTTATTTAACGTACCAATATATACTTATGGGCGCCATTTTATTTAGGGGAGAATAAAAAAAAAACAAAGTAATAAAGTGTTGTATTTTTATTTACTAATTTCAAACTGTACAAAAATTATCACTTTTCACTTTTACACATTATGGCACCTTATTTATAGGTATCATTAACATATGTAATAATTCAAATTGCTTGTAACTAAAACATAATAGGTAGGTATAATTCATATAAATGCCTTGATTGTATTGCACATAGATTTTCAAAAATAAAATTCATCTGGGTTCATATAATTTATAGTTCAAAATTATAAAATATTGTATTAAACTTTCATGGTCACTCACATGTAAAAAAACAAGGTACATACATGGTAATAATCCCGTTAATAGCTATAAAGTTATAAAAATACAAGAGGGATGATGACAAATTGTTTTTTCTTCGTTTATCAGGTGGATTATTTATCAAAAAGTATTGGACACGTATTTTTTCTTTTTTCACATAATATAAACATTGCAGAGATATATTCATTTGAAAAGTCGCATGACGTCACGTTTTGGTACAATTTTCACTTAAAAGTGACGTCACGAGCCCCTACTCCCAAATTTTGACGCGCTATAACTTTGTAATTTTTTGGTTGATTGCCCAAAACAAAAATACGTGTCCATTATTTTTTGATCCTCTAACTGACGGACTAAATAGAATTTCTTTTACTGTACCCACCCTCATCACCCCTATTATAGCCTTTATTATGATATGCAATAGAGATTTTTAATAAATCATATCAACCTTTTATTTAGGAAATTGTTAAGCACCTTTTGTCTGTGTTGTGTTAGTTTTACAGGTTATGAACTTCGAGAAAGAACAAATTAACAAACATTCAATCACACAAAACGTGTAATTAATATTGAAACTTCATAATAA